CATTTCCAATTTTAATGAACAGGAAAATAGATTTTATTTAAACAAGATAGATATAAAGCACTCAGGAAGGGAATTGATCCTAAAAATTTTAAAATATACTATTCAGTAAATAGCTGATTTTTACATAATGTATCGATTGTATTGCAAAGTTCAATGAAAAGCTAAAAATTGTCGTAGATCTAGCTAGTATGATGTAATGGTTTGCATAGATTAAAGAATGTTAGTTGGCCGTGGCTGATGATGAAACTGTGAAGTACAGTATTCGCTCTTTTACCAAGTACTAGAACCTGGACTGACAGCTTATATAATATAGATGGTACCGAATGTGTTAATACTAGACAATATTATGACTTTCCTGTTTGTGAAGATATACCGTCTATCTATCTATTAGCCGTTTTCACTGATATATTTAGGGAGGAAAAGTAAGATCTCTTAACGAAACTCTCAGACGGATAGACATAGCGAATTGAATAAAGTTTAGTATTTGCTCTCAAATTTAGGGCTTGTTACCTATTCTTGAAGATTAGGCATTTCGACGCAATCAAGGACCTAAGTCAGTCTAAGATCATCACTTTACGATACTAGCGAAGTAGCAGAGAGGCTATTTCATATAATATAACGAAATGCTAAGCTATCACAAAGATAAAAACAAAAGCAGCTGATTGTCTTTTATTAACGATTAACAATGATAAAGAAATTGTACTACGAGTGCGATGGCTAACGATTGTGCGGCTTTTTAAGTAGGTTCTGTATCGCAGAAATGAATAATATTTATTTATATAGTAATGTCACTGTTACTTAACTAAACTTGCCTAATCTAAACTAATTAGACTACTAGATAAGTAACAATAACTGAGAAATGCACTTTCAGAATCTTCTAACTATATCTTTATTGTAGAAAATGCGAGTCTAATTTAATATTCAAAATCAATCATTTAAATAGCTTTTCTAGCCATAAAAGCGGTTTACGATGTGTGATATATTTCGACCAATAAGACTTCGAGAATACATTAAATTATTCCTAGTCTAATCCAATGAATTTGTAAAATTACTGCAGATTAACTTTATGTTTGCCCTAGCTTATGATTATCAGGATTTATATTGAATTTGCCATTGACAATTCATATATCATATTTAGTATAATTTAACCTGTATTAGGAACAGGTTTGTATCGGCTATATTAAGTCATCAAATAATTCATGCACATATCCAAATTAATAACTATCTTAACGTGATACATATACATGTCTAAATTAAGTAAGTTATCATTCATCACGGTAGATTCACTACCTTGACAGTCACGAACTACTCTCCTCACAAAAGATGAATTAAATTATTTTGCTCTTCTAAGTTGCTATTATCAACTACCGTTCTACTATAGTTTCGGCTTAATACTATCAACGCAATTTTACTCGTGAAAACTACAAAATCGATTACTAACGAGCATCATTCGCAATTGAAAGTCAACAGCAAAAGTTTAGTAGAAAAATATACGTAGGCAGAAATCTACTGCGATACAAATACTTAATCTATATAGTCTAAACTAATAGACCTGGCTGATTTGGGCAAGAATAGCAATTAGTGAGTTCTTTGAATAATGTTTTTTTGTAGATTAACTCGGTTTAGTACAGCAAAACTACTGTTGTAAGACTTTTAGAAGGATAGATTTAGGCGTTGGTAATAATAAGATATTCCTACCACATCTTTTGACAGATTAAGGTGCAATCCGAGAATGCTACTAAAAGCAGACGCTTTTAGATTTGCCTAGTAAGCTTATCAAGATAGTCTATGACATCGTAGTCTATAATAGTGCTATCCCCTACCACTAAAGATGTTGCAATTACTTTTTATAATCTTAAAATTTTTATTTGGCGTGTTATGTATGCGTTGCAGAGTTGATATGGCATCATCCAAGATAGTCTATCTTTGGAGTCATCGTTGTTATCTGCGAAATAAATCAGTTTATGCAGAAGTTTTATTTCTAGAATTAAGTGAACGAAACATAATATCTAGGTTAACTCTGCAACCAAAGAAATTGGGGAATACAACTATTATCTGCTAGTTACTAAATAGCTAAAATCTCAATTATTAATGATCTGTACGTAAGCCCTTTCCGTGACGGTTCGTTCAATATAACTTTTAACCATTGCCCTAATAGAATAGAATATACCTTCCATAGTATAAAAGAATAGATATTAATAACCTTGGATACTAAATTAAAGAACTATTGATTGTTTACAATATAAATTACTTTCAATATTCTAGATCGCTTTACTAAGGTAAAAAACAAATTACTACAATTAATGTAACCTTCTCCATATGAATCATTGCATTTACAATGATGATGTTGCGTGTCACTTTCAAATTAAATACATAAAGATTTTTTAAATTCACTTGAACAAAATTAAAGCATTGACACTCTTCCTTCAAACAAAATGAGTTATTACAGTAAGAAAATCTGATAAACTACTACCAATTTTTCTCAAACATCCTAATTATTTGAAATATTGCGAACTTATGTATCTCTTTTTATTTCGTTTAAAACAATGTACTTACTATTGTAATGCGAGATTTTGTCTAACCATTTAAGCATCTAGTATCTTAACTTAGAGCATTGCCTAACTTTTTATTCTAATTATGTGACTTACTACTTAAATTAAGCTGCAGGAATACGAAACTAACATTCATGATCATTGACTGAGAAGTAACTAATTCAATATTGGGCTATTATTTAATTTAGTATCTAATTGGCATAACCATTAAATCCTCTTTAGCGGCTAGTCCCGACATGCTTTGGATATATAACGCATTTAACTTGTTACTATCACGTAAATAAATCCAAAATAGGAACTGCTTACCATTTTTTCTTAGTCCAATGTCGTATCAAGGTTGTATTCCATGTTCTCTGCTAATGCCTTAAAGTATAGTTACATTTTTAACGTTGTATTTGATAAACAGATACAGTGCATGCAATCAACCGCAGTAATAATTTTATATATGCCTAATGTATTCTTGCCATCGGTGCGTTAAACCTCAATAGCTCTTGAATGATCTTTTCTCGACAACTCTTCCTATACGTTTAATATTACAAAATGCTAGGCAAATGGTTAGTTTGAAGCTCGTATACTATATCCAGAATTAAAAGACATTTTATCAACATGGACTGTTTCAAGTTTCTGATAACAAAAGCTGTAATAAATTCGTATTCCCTGCTAGCAACAATTATATTCTCATACTTCATCTTTACTACATGTTCGCTCTAGCATTCATCGAGAATTGTGGGAGGCAGAAAATTGCCACTTGTGTTTTTACGCAGTGTACATTCTCCATAAACCTCCGTAGTTGAGTTAGACTGTCTGATGATTAATCACCACAAAACCAATTGGCTTTAATTCTAGAAGCTCCGCTTAAGGTTACAAAGTAACTTAAAAAGTTTGCAAGCTTTCAATTTATTAATCATCCAAAATGTATTTAACAGATACGTGTAATTACTTAGGAATAACTAGGTACTTACATTTAGTGTAGTGGAAACTTAGTATCAGACAATAGAACCCAAATTCTAAGCATTTATTGATAGTATAGAGGGTGTAAAGAAATTTTTTGGCCATCTCAAGCCTGGCCCCTTCTTCGTAACCGATTTCTGTACATTCTATTGCATAACTATTGAATAACAAAATTCAAAATTTTCACCCTATCCATTGTGGCTTGATCATTAGGAGTAGAGAATGTATGAATACTCAGCACTTGTAGAACGTCCAATTAAGCCATCGATTACTACTGCCTAGGCCGACATTGATTTCATTTTGAACTGTTGATCCTTGACATACTACTACTTCCTCAACTTTCGTTACATTTTATGCTGACTCTCAGTCATCAGCATTGATATTTGATAATTTCAGGCATCCTACTACGATGTCGATTGATTTACTAGTTATTCAAAATTGAAATTGCACACAGTATTAGCTACCTTTTATGTACGTTGCTAGGTCTAGATACAGATAATCCTTGGTAGAAGAACTAGGATCACGACATTTTATGCTGACTCTCAGTCAGCAGCATTGATAAATGATAATTTCAGGCATCGTACTACGATGTCGATTGATATACTAGCTATTCAAAATTCAAATTGAATACAGTATTAGCTACCTTTTACGTACGCTGCTACGTCTAGATACAGATCATTCTTGGTAGAAGAACTAGGATCACCAAGTAACTCATGTAATCAAGTTCAGTCAATCAAAAAAAATCAGAAAGATTTTTATTATAAGATAACAAAATAATCAGTTGGCGAGCCAGAGAAATTGTAGTTGAGTAGGTATGCATCCGTTCCGTAAAACACATTTTACAAATGATGAAAACATGTTTTCCAGAATTTTCGATCGCTTAGGGCTCTTCGCGACCGCAGTGCACTAAAACTGCAATATTAGTCATATTTTACGAAAATAAACAAAAGAGAATACAAAAATGACCAGTAAAATTAGGATTGAGGAGACGAAGATCGCAAAGACTTGATGAAAGGCCGCAATGCACTTTCCAGATTTCGTTAGTCCTTTGCGAGCAAGAACGTTATAGTAAGCGATACTATTGGATTAGGTGTCATATCATTTCCTAGAGTGAGGAGTACCGTATCGTACGTTCTTTTCGTTCAAATGCTCGCAAGGCATTGACAACTTCCGTTAACACTTTGCGGTCGAGGATTACGGTAGTTTAATTATGATATCAGCCAAGAATCTATATGATGTCTTGTATTTGAATGGATTGTATGATACATTACTCAAGCTGTGCCAGCATTGATGAAGGCCGCAAAGCACTAAAGTTACAATTGGAAAGGATCAACATTCGATAGGTATAAATAGCCTTAGCATGACTGATTTTTTCTAAATTCTTTTTCAGAGCAAAGAAGGCTAAAGGAAGTTGAAATACCTATCCAAGTTGGACCATTTACCTGGAATTTTGGATTTGGATATCATTTCGTCTAAACCTTATCAAGTCAGCGTATCATGGATAGCTCGACAGATATACCTTGCAACTGTGTTGAAAGTAAGTACTAGACTGTATACCAGACATCTATAGGAATACTGCGTACGTCCAATGAATGCACTTGATCCGTACTACAGTAGTTTAACTTGGGTTATCAACGTTTTGCCAAGCACTTCACTCTCAAAAATTTGCCTAGTCACTCATGGAGTCAATAGCTAGGATTTAATTTTTTAGACAAATTGTAGAAGAAAGAATACCAGCAATGCAGGGATCAATTCAACCAAATTGATCCGAATACAGTTGGATAACATGGGATAACCTATGCAGTAGAGTAAAAGAACGTTTTTTAGCAGTGATTGTGTATTATTTATTTTTTATTTTTTATTTTGAATAGTCGCACCTACAGTACTATACCGTGGTCGCACCGACTGTACTGTACTGTACAGTACAGTGTACAGTACAATGCCGTACAGTAGTTTTTTTCGTACAGTTATTGCTAGTTATTAGCATATTGTACTGTACACTGTACAGTACTGTACCATACCGTTCCTCACAGTACTATTGTCGAAAAAAAGTAATAATAATTAAATTTACGGTATAAAAAATCTTGATCGGTATACTGTACAGTACAGTACAGTACAGTAACAGTACATATTGTTACTGTTATACCGATCAAGATTTTTTATACAGTATACGTACAGAATCCGACTGCGCACGCCCATTTCGATATTTGTGACGTCACGTTGCCCTGGACTACTGTACACTCAGTGTACAGTGTACAGTATCGACAATAACTACGGACCGTTGATTCCTGCACGTGACTCGAGATAATGGCAGTTTTTACCGTTGTATTGTTTGTTTTTACATGTCGTACGAGGCTTATTACAAATTCAATTTCTACATCTTCGTAGTAAACCTTGTAGTAAACGTTCGCGAGTGTTGCCTCTCAAAAGCTCGCAAGCTATTTAGTACTTTAGTAGTGCCTGCTGTAGCACATTCAAAAGGGGACAGTATTACTGTACAAAGGTTTTTAGCATTTCATTCTTTCTTCTTAAACTGTAGCTGGAATTTGCAAATGTAGTCCTGACTGCAAGTGCAGAAACTGTCAATGCACATCAGACTGCAAATCATCCTGTGCAAAGAACTGCGACTGTTCTGGTTAGTTGAAACAAGTTCAATGAATACTCTACAGTCTACAGTCTATAGTAAACTGTATTGCAGATCTCAGTTGACTGCGTTATATTCAATGTTTATGTTTAGCTGGCAATTGCAAATGCTGTTGTCATTGCGACTGTAGTAACTGTCAATGTACATCGTGCAGCAAATCAACCAGTGGAAAAACTTGCGACTGTTCAGGTCAGTTAATAAAAGCATATAACGTAAACACCATTTCTTAAACTATATCAGTTAAATAAATGTAATCACATAGTAATAATATCGCCCCTATCACGGTAATAGCGTATTAATTCGAATTGTTTCTGGTATTTTAATATTTAGACGATAATTGCACATGCTGTTCTCAATGCAACTGCACGAGCTGTAAATGCACATCATGTACTAAGTCGTCGAATGAAAATACTTGCGACTGTTCAGGTAAGTTAAAACAAATTAAATAAATACCATTTCTTATAGATAGGACTTACAATAATAATAATTATAATCGAACCAATATAATCAGACATTACTCATTTCCTCACTTCCCTCCCTACCTTTTAGTAGTATTACATACTGTACGTACATATGCTATTTATATAATGTATTGATTTATTTGTTTGTGACTTTTACATTTAGCTTGCGATTGCAAAAACTGCTCTGATTGCAACTGTACTAGCTGTAAATGCACATCATGCAGCAAATCGTCGAGTGGAAACACTTGCGACTGCTCAGGTCAGTCAATAAAGAGTCAAATAAATAATATGCGCTACCTTAAAGAGATGTAATTTATTTATTATATCGAAAATACATCACAAGATATTACTCGTATTATCACTTTCCTATGCTTGTAGTAGCGTGTTAATTTTATCGTTTCTGGCCATTACATTTAGCTTGCGATTGCAAGAGCTGCTCTGATTGCAACTGTACTAGCTGTAAATGCACATCATGCAGCAAATCGTCCAGTGGAAACACTTGCAACTGTTCAGGTCAGTTAATAAAGATGCAAATAAATAATATGCGCTACCTTGAAGAGATACACGTATAATTTATTTATTATATCGAAAATAGATCACTTGACATTGTTCGTATCGCCACTTTCCTAACCTTATAGTAGCGTATTAATTTTATCGTTTCTGCCTTTTACATTTAGTTTGCAATTGCAAAAGCTGCTCTGATTGTAACTGTACTAGCTGTAAATGTACATCATGCAGTACATCGTCGAGTAGAAATACTTGCGACTGCTCAGGTCAGTCAATAAAGAGTCAAACAAATAATATGCACTACCTTAAAGAGATATAATTTATTATTTTGAAAATACAACACCAGATATTACTCGTATCGTCACTTTCCTACCTGTTTAGTAGCATGTTAATTTCATCGTTTCTGACTTTTACATTTAGCTTGCAATTGCAAAAGTTGTTCTGATTGTAACTGTACTAGCTGTAAATGCACATCATGCAGCAAATTGCCGAGCGGAAACAGTTGCGACTGTTCAGGTTAGCTAATGAGAAGTAAAATGAGTATTATGGCGTACTTTTAAAGAGATAGAAGTTACTGTAATCGATTGAAATATAATCAGATATTATTCATGTCGTCACTTTCCTATCCATGTAGTAGTGTGCGTACGTATTGATTTCATTAAATCTGGTTTTACATTTAGCGGGTAATTGCAAATGCTGTTCCGACTGTCAATGCACCAGCTGTACATGTACATCATGTAGCAAATCACCAAGTGAAAAGAATTGCAACTGTTCAGGTCAGTTAAAAACGAGTTGAAGGAGGATTATTCCTTAGAGATATAATTTATATGACAATGTAATCAAACATTACTAGTATCATCATTTTACCATTCGCTGTAGTAATTTATTAATTTAATTGTTTCTGGCTTTTGCATTAGCTGGAAATTGTAAGTGCTGTTGTGACTGTGACTGCACTAGCTGTCAATGTACGTCATGCAGCAAATCTTCAAGTGGAAAAACTTGCGACTGTTCAGGTCAGTTAAAACAAGTTAAAATAACACTATTGCTTAAAGATATAATTTATACTCGAATAAACGTAATCAGACATTACTAGTGTCGTCAATCTACGATTCCTATTGCAGTGTATTAATGTAATTGTTTCTGGCTTTTACATTAGCTTGCAATTGCAAATGCTGTTCGGACTGCGATTGTGCTAGCTGTAAATGTACATCATGCAGCAAATCACCAAGTAAAAAAACTTGCGACTGTTCAGGTCAGTTAAAAACGAGTTAAATGAATATATATGTCTTAAAGATATTTATTTATCTTCATTTTATTATAATTGAATAAAATGGGATCAGACATTATCCGGACCTTCGCTTTCCTAATTTTTTATTAGCATATTGATATCATTGTTTCTGTCTTTACATTTAGCTGCCAATTGCAAATGCTGTTCTGATTGTGACTGCACTAGCTGTGAATGTACGCTATGTAGTAAATCATCGAATGAATAGACTTGCGACTAGGTTAGTTAAAACAAATTTAAATTACTTCTGTATTGTAATAAAACAAATGTGCATAGCATTATCTAATCACAACTTGTGGAATTTACGCTTTAAACTCTATTCTCTATCAATCATCACAGGAGATGCAACCAGCTATAATTATGAGAAATAAGAGTGTGTCAACCATAGCCGTTCAAAAGGATGCAGGAAGTTAATTTGCCGTAGCTTTTACAATGAAACCTTCATCGTTTACATGGGTACCTACTATCAATTGTTTACCGCTTATCTATAATAATTACATTCTAAAATATCTTGTTTAAACATTAAAATCATAACAACAGACAGTTTGATGATTCGGACACATACTCAAATTACAATTACTGCACCAATACGCTATGCTAAGAAAATCAATAAAACTATAATTTTAAATCTATCTTGTGGAAGTGTTACTAAAGAGTACAATACTAATTTATCTATCGCTACTAGCGATAACTAAAATTTCTATCGCATTTTAATCATAACTACGTAAAAGGGTAATTAATAGCTACTTTACATCAAACAGTATCGTGCAGTTTAAATCGAGCCTATTATAATTAGGTGCCAAAGGTAAAAATAATGTTGTAGTTTCTAAATCTTTACAGATTTCCAATAATTAATTAGCAATTGAAAACCACTTCTATCAACGTAGTGGCGTATAAGACTCATTCAAGTGATTTCGTACATTCACGAAAACATCAGCAAAACTAGAATCAACACAAATGCTTGAACGAGAAAATAGTACTAGCAGTCTAGTTGTAAACGTACGGTACCTTTACGCTATGAAAATTGTACTGTATGTACGATGATAGTTTATGTAGACGCATTGGTTATCTAACTGTTCTGCTGTATGGTAAAGTTCAAAATTTTCACCCTATCATTCATGGCTTCATCATCAGGAATAGAGAATGCATGATATTTAGCACTTGCAGAACGTACAGTACTACAACCAAGGATGACTAAGTCCTAAACCGACATTTACTTATTTTTAAGGTTAATCCTTGCTATACTACTGTTGCTTGCTCAGCTTTCGTTGAGATATTTTATACCGACTGACAGTCAGCATTGATAATGATAATTTCAGGCATCGTACTACGATGACGATAGATATACTAGTTATTCAAATAAAATGGAATACAGTATTAGCTACCTTTTATGTACGTTGCTAGATCTAGATGCAGATAATCCTTGGTAGAAGAACTAGGATCACCAAGTAACTCATGTAATCAAGTTCAGTCAATCCAAAGAATTCGGCAGTTTATTATAATGAAATGATTCAATTTTCAAGTCATGGGCTAGAGAAATTGTAGTTGAGTAGTCATCCGTTTTGTAAAACACGTTTTTACAAATGATGAAAACATGTTTTCCAGAATTTTCGATCGCAAAGGACTCTTTACGACCGCAGTGCACTAAAACTGCAATATTAGTCACATTTTACTAAAATAAACAAAAGAGAATACAAAAATGACCAGTAAAATTAGGATTGAGGAGACGAAGATCGCAAAGACTTGCTGAAAGGCCGCAATGCACTTTCCTGATTTCGTTAGTCCTTTGCGAGCAAGGACGCTATAGTAAACGATACTATTGGCGAAGATGGTGTATTATTTCCTAGAGTGAGGAGTACCGTATCGTATATTGCTACAAGTTGAAATGCTCGCAAGGCATTGACAACCTTCGTTAGTACTTTGCGGTGGATGATCACCGTACTAAACAAGGATGTCAGCCAAGATTCTATATGATGTCTTGTATTTGAATGGATTGTATGGGACATTACTCAAGCTGATGCAGCTTTAATGAAGACCGCAAAGCACTAAAGTTACAATTGGAAAGGATCAACATTCGATAGGTATAAATAGCCTTAGCATGACTGATTTTTTCTAAATTCTTTTCCGAAGCGAGGAAGGCTAAAGGAAGTTGAAATACCTATCCAAGTTGGACCCTTTACCTGTTGAATTTTTGATTTAGATATCATTTCGTCTAAACCTTATCAAGTCAGCGTATCATGGATAGCTTAACAGATAGACCTTGCAACTATGTTGAAAGTAAGTACTAGACTGTACAGTATATAGTGCATCAGATGTTTACAGGAATACACCGTACGCCTTGATTGGTACTACCAGTTGAATTTTGCTTAATAATCAATGTTCAACGTCTTGGCACTGAAAAATTTGCCTAGCCACCCATGTAATCAACGGCTACAATCAGACCTTTTAGATAAATTAAGAAAAAAGAATACCAATAATTGAGGTGCCAATGCAGTTGAATAACATAGAATGACCAATACACTACACTGTATGTCCAGTTAGAATGCCCTTGATCCGTACTACAGTAGTTTAACTTGGGTTATCAACGTTTGCGGCTTCGCACTCCAAATTTATCTAGTCACTCATGGAATCAATGGCTAGAATCAGACCTTTTAGACAATTTATGAAAAAAGAATACCAGCAATGCAGGGATCAATTGAATCGAATTGATCCGAACACAGCTCAATAACATTGAATGACGGACCAATGCAGTAAAGTAAAAAGTCGTTTATACAAGTGATTGTGCGCTATTATTTTTTGGATTTATTTTTAGTAGTCACACCGACTGTACAGTGTACAGTACAGTACACTGTACTGTACTGTACGCTGAGTATACAGTACAGTACACTGTACGCTGAGTGTACAGTACAGTACGGTAGTGTACAGCAATATTATTTTCCTATAAGATATTTGAATAAAAGTAGAAATAAAATGTATTACTAGATGTCGGTATGAATTACTGCATTAGCCCGTTAGTTTTAGTTAGTTATACAGTACAGTATCCAAAACGAAATGTACTGTACACCGTGTGCAGTGTACAGTTATTACCGTATACTGTCTGTACTGTAGCACTATAGCAAAAAAAATAAATAAACAAATCAATCAAAAATCGGGATGGGTACAGACAGTCATGCGGACAATCTAACTGCGCATGTCCAATATCCAATTTGTGACGTACACTCCTACAGTACTCACTGGAGACCCTCTACAGTATGATGAAGGGTCGCTAGTACTCACCGCGCAATCAAAATGGGATGCTGTTACAACAGAATTTTTGACATTTCATTCTTTCTTCTTAAACTATAGCTGGAATTTGCAAATGTAGTCCTGACTGCAAGTGCAGAAACTGTCAATGCACATCAGACTGCAAATCATCCTGTGCAAAGAACTGCGACTGTTCTGGTTAGTTGAAACAAGTTCAATGAATACTCTACAGTCTACAGTCTATAGTAAACTGTATTGCAGATCTCAGTTGACTGCGTTATTTTCAATGTTTATGTTTAGCTGGCAATTGCAAATGCTGTTGTCATTGCGACTGTAGTAACTGTCAATGTACATCGTGCAGCAAATCAACCAGTGGAAAAACTTGCGACTGTTCAGGTCAGTTAATAAAAGCATATAACGTAAACACCATTTCTTAAACTATATCAGTTAAATAAATGTAATCACATAGTAATAATATCGTCGCTTCCCTATCTCGGTAATAGCGTATTACAGTAATCGAATTGTTTCTGGTATTTTAATATTTAGACGATAATTGCACATGCTGTTCTCAATGCAACTGCACGAGCTGTAAATGCACATCATGTACTAAGTCGCCGAATGAAAACACTTGCGACTGTTCAGGTAAGTTAAAACAAATTAAATAAATACCATTTCTTATAGATAGGACTTACAATAATAATAATTAATTATAATCGAACCAATATAATCAGACATTACTCATTTCCTCACTTCCCTCCCTACCTTTTAGTAGTATTACATACTGTACGTACATATGCTATTTATATAGTGTATTGATTTATTTGTTTATGACTTTTACATTTAGCTTGCGATTGCAAAAACTGCTCTGATTGCAACTGTACTAGCTGTAAATGCACATCATGCAGCAAATCGTCGAGTGGAAACACTTGCGACTGCTCAGGTCAGTTAATAAAGAGTCAAATAAATAATATGCGCTGCCTTAAGAGATATAATTTATATATTTATTATATTGAGAATATATCACAAGATATTACTCGTATTATCACTTTCCTATGCTTGTGGTAGCGTGTTAATTTTATCGTTTCTGGCCATTACATTTAGCTTGCAATTGCAAGAGCTGCTCTGATTGCAACTGTACTAGCTGTAAATGTACATCATGCAGCAAATCGTCCAGTGGAAATACTTGCGACTGTTCAGGTCAGTTAATAAAAGAGTCAAATAAATAATATGCGCTACCTTAAAGAGATATAATTTATTCATTATATCGAAAATACGTCACAAGATAGTACTTGTATTGTCACTTTCCTATGCTTGTAGTATCGTGTTAATTTTATCGTTTCTGGCCTTTACATTTAGCTTGCAATTGCAAATGCTGCTCTGCTTGTAACTGTACTAGCTGTAAATGCACATCATGCAGCAAATCGTCCAGTGGGAACACTTGCGACTGCTCAGGTCAGTTAATAAAGAGTCAAATAAATAATATGCCCAACTTTAAAGGGATGTAATTTATTTATTATATCGAAAATACATCACAAGATATCACTCGTATTGTCACTTTCCTATCCCTATAGTAGCGTATTAATTTTATCGTTTCTGGCTTTGCATTTAGCTGGCAATTGCAAATGTTGCTCTGATTGTAAATGCACTAGCTGTAAATGCACATCATGCAGCAAATCGTCCAGTGGAAACACTTGCGACTGTTCAGGTCAGTTAATAAGAATTAAATAAATAATTTGCCCAATTTTAAGGATATAATTTATTCATTATATCTAAAATATATCACAAGACATTACTCGTATCGTCACATTCCTATCCCTGTGGTAGCGTATTAATTTTATCGTTTCTGGCTTTCACATTTAGCTTGCAATTGCAAATGTTGCTCTGATTGTAACTGCACTAGCTGTAAATGCACATCATGCAGCAAATCGTCGAGTACAAACACTTGCGACTGTTCAGGTCAGTTAATAAAGAGTCAAATAAATAATATGCCCAATTTTAAGGAGATATAATTTATTTATTATATCTAAAATATATCACAAGACATTACTCGTATCGTCACATTGCTATCCCTGTAGCAGCGTATTAATTTTATCGTTTTTGGCCTTTACATTTAGCTTGCAATTGCAAAAGCTGTTCTGATTGTAACTGTACTAGCTGTAAATGCACATCATGCAGCAAATCGTCGAGTGGAAAAACTTGCGACTGTTCAGGTCAGTTAATAAAGAGTCGAATAAATAATAAATAATATACACTACCTTAAAGAGATGTAATTTATTTATTATATCTATAATATATCACAAGATATTACTCGTATCGTCGCATTCCTACCTAGTTAGTAGCATATTAATTTTATCGTTTCTGACTTTTACATTTAGCTGGCAATTGCAAATGCTGTTATTATTGCAACTGTACTAGCTGTAAATGCACATCATGCAGCAAATCGTCGAATGGAAACACTTGCGACTGTTCAGGTCAGTTAACTTCAATAAAGAATCAAATAAATAATAAATATTATGCACTACCTTAAAGAGATGTAATTTATTTATTATATCTATAATGTATCACAAGACATTACTCGTATCGTCGCATTCCTACCAAGTTAGTAGCGTATTAATTTTATCGTTTCTGGCCTTTACATTTAGCTGGCAATTGCAAATGCTGCTATTATTGCAACTGTACTAGCTGTAAATGCACATCATGTAGCAAATCGTCCAGTGGAAAAACTTGCGACTGTACAGGTCAGTTAATAAAGAATCAAATAAATAATAAATATTATGCACTACCTTAAAGAGATATAATTTATTTATTATATCTATAATATATCACAAGATATTACTCAAATCATCACATTCCTATCCCTCTAGTAGCGTATTAATTTCATTGTTTCTGGCTTTTATACTTAGCTTGCAATTGCAAAAGCTGTTCTGATTGTAACTGTACTAGCTGTAAATGCACATCATGCAGTAAATCGTCAAGTGGAAACATTTGCGACTGTTCAGGTCAGTTAATAAAAATTCAAATAAATAATATACACTACCTTAAAGAGATACACGTATTATTTATTTACTGTATCTAAAATACGTCACCAGATATTACTCGTATCGTCACTTTCCTATCCTCTGGTAACGTATTAATTCTATCGTTTCTGGCTTTTACATTTAGCTTGCAATTGCAAATGCTGTTCTGATTGTAACTGTACTAGCTGTAAATGCACATCATGTAGCAAATCGTCGAATGGAAACACTTGCGACTGTTCAGGTCAGTTATTAAAGAATCAAATAAATATATGTACTACCTTAAAAAGATGTGATTTATTTATTATATCTATAATATATCACCGGATATTATTGATATCATCGCATTCCTACCTAGTTAGTAGCGTGTTAATTTTATCGTTTCTGGCTTTTACATTTAGCTGGCAATTGCAAATGCTGTTCTGATTGTAACTGTACTAGCTGTAAATGCACATCGTGCAGAAAATCGTCGAGTGGAAGAACTTGCGACTGTTCAGGTCAGTTAATAAAGAGTCAAATAAATAATAAATAATATGCACTACCTTAAAGAAATATAATTTATTTATAATATATCACAAGATATTACTCAAATCATCACTTTCCTATCCCTGTAGTAGCGTATTAATTTTATCGTTTCTGGCTTTTACATTTAGCTGGCAATTGCAAATGCTGTTCTGATTGTAACTGTACTAGCTGTAAATGCACATCATGCAGCAAATTGTCGAGTAAAAATACTTGCGACTGTTCAGGTCAGTTAATAAAGAGTCAAATANATAATAATAAATAATATACACTACCATAAAAAGATGTAATTTATTTATTATATCTAAAATATATCACCGGATATTACTCGTATCGTCGCATGCCTACCTAGTTAGTAGCGTATTAATTTTATCGTTTCTGGCTTTTACATTTAGCTTGCAATTGCAAGAGCTGTTATTATTGTAACTGTACTAGCTGTAAATGCACATCATGCAGCAAATCGTCGAGTGGAAAAACTTGCGACTGTTCAGGTCAGTTAATAAAGAATCAAGTAAATATATATATTACCTTAAAAAGATGTAATTTATTTATTATATCTATAATATATCACCGGATATTACTCGTTTCGTCGCATTCCTACCTAGTTAGTAGCGTATTAATTTTATCGTTTCTGGCTTTTGCATTTAGTTGGCAATTGCAAATGCTGTTCTGATTGCAACTGTACTAGTTGTAAATGCATATCATGCAGCAAATCGTCCAGTGGAAGCACTTGCGACTGTTCGGGTCAGTTAATAAAGAATCAAATAAATATATGTACTACCTTAAAAAGATGTAATTTATTTATTATATCTAAAATATATCACAAGACATTACTCGTATCGTCGTATTCCTACCTAGTTAGTAGCGTATTAATTTTATCGTTTCTGGCTGTTACATTTAGCTTGCAATTGCAAATGCTGCTCTGATTGTAACTGTACTAGCTGTAAATGCACATCATGCAGCAAATCGTCGAGTGGAAACACTTGCGACTGTTCAGGTCAGTTAATAAAGAGTCAAATAAATAATATGCCCAATTTTAAGGAGACATAATTTATTTATTATATCTAAAATATATCACAAGACATTACTCGTATCGTCGCATTGCTATCCCTGTAGCAGCGTATTAATTTTATCGTTTTTGGCTTTTACATTTAGCTTGCAATTGCAAAAGCTGTTCTGATTGTAACTGTATGAGCTGTAAATGCACATCATGCAGCAAATCGTCGAGTGGAAAAACTTGCGACTGTTCAGGTCAGTTAATAAAGAGTCGAATAAATAATAAATAATATACACTACCTTAAAGAGATGTAATTTATTTATTATATCTATAATATATCACAAGATATTACTCGTATCGTCGCATTCCTACCTAGTTAGTAGCATGTTAATTTTATCGTTTCTGACTTTTACATTTAGCTGGCAATTGCAAATGCTGTTATTATTGCAACTGTACTAGCTGTAAATGCACATCATGCAGCAAATCGTCGAATGGAAACACTTGCGACTGTTCAGGTCAGTTAATAAAGAGTCGAGTAAATAATAAATCATATGCACTACCTTAAAAAGATGTAATTCATTTATTATATCTAAAATATTTCACCGGATATAACTCGTATCGTCGCATTCCTACCTAGTTAGTAGCGTATTAATTTTATCGTTTCTGGCTTTTACATTTAGCTTGCAATTGCAAGATGCTGTTCTGATTGTAACTGTACTAGCTGTAAATGCACATCATGCAGCAAATCGTCGAGTGGAAAAACTTGCGACTGTTCAGGTCAGTTAATAAAGAATCAAATAAATAATAAATAATATGCACCACCTTAAAGAGATGTAATTTATTTACTATATCTATAATATATCACCAGATATTACTCGTATCGTCACTTTCCTAACCCTGTAGTAGCGTGTTAATTTTATCGTTTCTGACTTTTACATTTAGCTGGCAATTGCAAATGCTGTTACTATTGCAACTGTACTAGCTGTAAATGCACATCATGCAGCAAATCGTCGAGTGGAAACACTTGCAACTGTTCAGGTCAGTTAATAAAGAGTCAAATAAATAATAAATATTATGCACTACCTTAAAGAGATATAATTTATTATATCTATAATATATCACCGGATATTACTGGTATCGTCGCATTCTTACCTAGTTAGTAGCGTATTAATTTTATCGTTTCTGGCTTTTACATTTAGCTTGCAATTGCAAGAGCTGTTCTGATTGTAACTGTACTAGCTGTAAATGCACATCATGCAGCAAATCGTCCAGTGGAAACACTTGCGACTGTTCAGGTCAGCTAATAAAGATTCAAATAAATAATATGTAATACCTTAAAGAAATATAATTTATTTATCATATCTATAATATATCACCAGATATTACTCGTATCGCCACTTTCCTAACCCTGTAGTAGCGTGTTAATTTTATCGTTTCTGGCTTTTTATATTTAGCTTGCAATTGCAAAAGCTGTTCTGATTGTAACTGTACGAGCTGTAAATGCACATCATGCAACAAATCTGCAAGTGGAAAAACTTACGACTTTTCAGGTCAGTTAAAACAAGTTAAAATAACACTATTCCTTAAAGATATAATTTATACTCGAATAAACGTAATCAGACACTACTAGTATCGTTAATCTGCAATTCCTGTCGCAGTGTATTAATGTAATTGTTTCTGGCTTTTACAATAGCTTGCAATTGCAAATGCTGTTCCGACCGCAATTGTACTAGCTGTAAATGTAAATGTACATCATGCAGCAAATCACCAAGTAAAAAAACTTGCGACTGTTCAGGTCAGTTAAAAACGAGTTAAATGAATATACATGTCTTAAAGATATTTATTTATCTTCATTTTATTATAATTGAATAAAATGGGATCAGACATTATTCGGACCTTCGCTTTCCTAATTCTGTATTAGCATATTGATATCTCTGTTTCTGTCTTTACATTTAGCAGCCAATTGCAAATGCTGTTCTGATTGCGACTGCACTAGCTGCAAATGTGCATTATGCTGTAAAGCACTGAGTGGAAAGACTTACAGCTATTCAGGTCAGTTAGAGATACATTTTATAATAGCCGGATAAATATAATTGGACATTGCTTGTATTGTCGTTTTTCTTATACTTGTAGTAATATATCAAAGTTCATTGTTTCTGATTTTTACTTTTAGCTGGCAACTCTAAGTGCTGTTGTGAATGTGGCTGTACTAGCTGCGAATGCACGTCATGCAGTAAATCATCGCTAGTGGAAATACTTGCGACTGTTCAGGTTAGTAAAGTGAATACAATATCTTAAAGTAATCAGATATTAATCGGTTATTACGTTTCTATTCATGTAGTAGTGTATTAATTTCACTGTATCTGCCTAATATATTTAGCTACGAATTGCAAATGCTTTCCTGATTGCGATTGCAATATCTGCAAATGTACTATTATGTAACAAATCATCTAATGAATAGAGTCGCGGTTGTCCAGGTTAGTTAAAACAAATTTAAATTAATTCTGTATTATAATAAAACAAATGTGCTTAGCATTATCTAATCACAACTTGTGGAATTCACGCTTTAACTCTATTCTCTATCAATCATCACAGGAAATGCAGCCAGCTATAATTATAAGAAATAGGAGTGTGTCAACCACAGCCGTTCAAAAGGATGCAGGAAGTTAATTTGCCATAGCTTTTACAATGAAACCTTCATCTTTTACATGGGTACCTACTATCAATTGTTTACCGCTTATCTATAATAATTACATTCTAAAATATCTTGTTTAAGCGTTATAATCATAACAATAGACAGTTCGACTATTCGGACACATACTCAAATTATAATTACTGCACCAATGCGCTATGCTAAGAAAATCAATAAAACTATTATTTTGAATCTATCTTGTGGAAGTCTTACTAAAAAAGTACAATACTAATTTTATCTATCACTACTAGCGATAACTAAAATTTCTATCGCATTTTAATCATAACTACGCGGATGAATAATGTTTGCACCTTGATGAGCTACTAAGAAGTTGGTGCATGTATCTGCTGAGTAATTTAATAAATAGATCATATTTGACTTAATTACCAACCGAGATTTAATATTGGTGTACGAGAATATTTCACTTAAAGTAAACGGAGCATAGAGCTGTTCTACGATAACTAAAATTTCTGTCGCATTTTAATCATAACTACGCGGATGAATAATGTTTGCACCTTGATGAGCTACTAAGAAGTTGGTGCATGTATCTGCTGAGTAATTTAATAAATAAATCATATTTGACTTAATTACCAACCGAGATTTAATATTGGTGTACGAGGATATTTCACTTAAAGTAAAATGAGCATAGAGCTGTTCGTATGATCTAAAATACATATAGTTAATTAATTATATCAAAGACGTTTAAGAGTAAAAGTGCAAGGCAACGATTAACATCCAAAAAGGGTACAGTAATTAGCAGCTACAGTACATTAAACAGTACCGTGCAGTTTAAATTGAGCCTGTTAGGTGTCTAAAGTAAAAATAATGCTGTAGTTTCTAAATCTTCACAGTTCCAATAATTAGCAATTTGAAACACATTCTATCTAGGTAGTGCCGTATAAGACTCATTAAACTAAAAGAATTTGATAGTGATTTCGTACATCTACGAAAACATCAGCAAAGCTAGAATCGACACTAATACTTATAGGAGAAAATTATAATTAGGTACCTGGTCAAAAGGAATAATCATCGTGGCTAAATTGTACACATAAACATGGTACTGTGCAGAACAGATTTGCAATAGAAGTGGCCTTTTCGAAATGTTTATTTATTAAGTTGCCATTGTAATTTAATGCAATAATGCGGTATTTTGCACGTGCAGAATAAATTCATCACTGTTCCACGTTATAGCTTACTAATTTGCATATCTTTCTACTAATTGTATTTGTCGTAATTAAGATTACTACACTTACAATTGATCTTCTAAAATTAAATTTCATACCTCAGCCTCCTTGATTATTCTAGATTAAAATAAGGCTATACAAACACTGTGAAAGTATCTTTTGACTATAGTCATTTTTACATCGCTTATCGGGATTGCAATATGCTGTAGTACGATACTCGTTGAAATCCGTACTTTATGGTATAGCCTAGATGAATCAGAAAAGTTAATCGAAACTTCTTACCAGAAGCCAAAATTAAATATGTGAAACTAACTAGAGATAAAATAATAGACGATAACTTTCTTACTAAATGTATGAGCGATGACATCATTAAAAAGTAATGCGTGAAAAGTTAGAACATCTATAGCTTATGACTACTAGAAATTTATGGACCAATTACTGAACTTCTATCCATTTAAATCATAGTAAACCTGAATAAGTCTAATATTTCAATATAGTATAAATACCGATTTTATGCCCTTAATTAAAATAGTATGGCAATTTATCCTGTTTGCCAACAACTTATCCAATTACAGTTCCGCCGATCCACCAATTTGTAGTAGCTGTTGAGCTATTAGTACACCTAAATCTAGGATTTTCAGTTTGATATCGACCGAATGCCTCCTCATTAGCTATAGTGTCAGGAATTCTCAACCGTGAGCAAGCCTGTGTTGCTCGTGAAACATCAATAAACGTATGAAACTTATTGTTACCATAATAAATAGGAATACTACATTGCCGACATGAAAAACCTTGAATATTAAAGAAATCGACGGTAGCACAAGTGTAGCCAGAAGATGTGCCAAACATATTGTATCGGCAAAGTGCAACCCTCAGATAGTCGCGATGATCCGTTAAACCTTTATCTACTTCGGCATTAAATTACACGTAGCGCGTAGATAATTGGTGCCAGGATTATTCTTGATGGATAGCATTCTGGATTTGGAAAGTCGGAAATCAGACCAGTTAACTCCACAATCTTCAGATTCTGCATCGTATGCAAAGTTTTTTCGATAATTGGACGTTTTTGCTTTAGCTAAGGAAAGAGACTCAATTAGCGTCCAAGCAAAACCTGAATCTGATTCAAAATCACAGTATGTTGCAAAAGGTTTATTTGTGCTATCAAATAGGACATAGTATCCATTTCGTTGAGCTGCTAATTCCCTTGCATGTAGACATGATTTAGGTTTGATCGGCTGATAGAATTGAAAATTGATAAAATGTTAATTTATAAAATTTGTAACAAATGTCATATTTGACAAAAGAAAAAATGAATTTTTAAACTTACTGTCAGTATTACTGACTGTACCAGACCGAATAAAATGAAAACCGGTAGCTGAATCGATTTCATCGTAAAGACTATTGTAAATCAGTTCGTGATCAATTTCAATTTGGTAATTTAGTCTATTATAATCTCGGTCCAAATTTAAAGACAATATTAAGCAATTATTTGTAGTTGCTAGAACTATTTCATCGAGGCTATTTAGAATTCTTTATTTAATTACTACCTATCAAATATCATAGCGGGTATCAAATTGGCTCCTCCCTTACCACATTTTGTTGCTTGGGTAAAATCTTATACTGTGCTAGTAGTACATTGTTCGTTTAAACTACTCAAATGAGATCAATAGCTATTAAATTATTTATTCACCAGCATGATCGAGATAGATAGATAGATGCTGAATGATGTTTTGGCCGCTACTTACGTCTTGTAATAAAATAAAAGATTCATTAGCTCTTAATTGAAATGTTTCAATTTATTGAAGCTATACACAGCATGTACAGCAGATAAGCGTTACTTTTAAGATCTGAATTCAGTATGATTTCTTAGCTTGTACTACTTGCAATTCAGTAATGATGAGGTTTAATCTCGATGAATACGGAAGTTTAGCCCGGTTTGCAGTAGACAAAGTGGTTAAAGTATCTGTTAATTATCAGTTGTTATTGGATTAAATAATAAAATAGTTACTGGATACGATATCAGCAGGGGATAGTATGACTAGTCTCCTAATAATTTCACATGGCTACATTTAAAAACAGTGAGTATTGCGCTAGTATACATCCTTACTTAGTACCTGGCATAGCTTTCTATTTATAGAATAGATAAATACCGTATATTCCAGAATATTGAACTCAGTCGTGTTGTTAAATGCCAAAATTTGTATTTAATTATTCATTAAACTATCACAATTTTAAAAGTTATGATGTAATGCTTATTATACTCGTATTATTTCAAATTATGAATCAACAATATATCCGAGTGCCTGTACCATATTTACTAGACTGAATATGGTACGAAGTGTGATAATATTGCTAATGGCAAGTTATGTCTTTGATACGTAATAAATTTCTCTTGAAAAAATAAACTTTATGTAAGCATACGTGATTAATAAACCACCACTGGCATGCAATGGATCTATGACCGATGAATAAATAGATAAATGCTTTGATGACTAATTCGGTGGAGAATTAAAGTATAGATCAATCCTTAACGAAATAATTATGAAAATTTTATAGAAATATTCTCTTTAACTATATCAATACGCTTAGGAAATCAAGGTCTTTGGAGAATTCTTAATAACTAATAAACGAACTCACCAGAAACGTTCTTAGTCAGGAAAAAATATAAGGTATTGAGACAGTCTGGGTGCTTTAGCATTTGTACACTAGGAATTCATTACACGCAGTGCAAACTCTTTTTCTAAATATTCTTTGTTTGGATCTCATTTATTTATCTTGTGAGTATATAGGTATTTTTCTTAAAATAGCCTTTGATATAAGAGGTAATCACTGTGGAAATACGAGATGGATACAAAACTACACAAGATTTCGCTTAATATCCAGCGTATTTTATAACGAAAATTTATATACGACTAGGTATGACTATTTTAATACCGAAAAATTTCAATCGATAAAATAAATTACTACCATATCCAAACTTGTCCCTCACTTTACTAAAGAGAATTTTATGATACTTTCACACGCTTGAACAGTAAAATCTGGAAAAGTATCACATGCGGTTATAATTAATCTAGCGCAGCTATAGTTTTATTTTTTGCCATAGATCGCTATATAATGATTTAAAAGATTTTCGCGATAAAATTTAAGCATTAATTCAAGACTGACTTATGTCCTACAATACCGGTAGTATTAGTAATTTTTCATTATAAAGCTAATCTGACTCTTAATATCACCTATGAGTATGCAGCTATTTCCATGATATAGAATGCAAAGAATCTTTCAAATATCAGGTATGCTTGGAAAATATGATGATTAAATATCAACGCAAGAAACAATTCTCTGTCATGCTGATAAAGAAAACAACTTATAGACAATGATGCCATCGACAAATGTTATTGTCTGAAACATTACAGGATAATGAAGAATATTATATGATCTATTTAGCTTAGCAAGGGTAGTTACCATACTTCTCAGCATGGCTTTCCACCTCCAGTGGTTACTTATTGCCAATTTAATATTATATAAAGGCTTCTAAGTGATACACGAATTAAAATAGTTCCTAGCTATTTGTAACTAATAGTTAAAATATTGCCTAAACTTTGAGCGCAAGATCATAACTATTAAGTACTGTATTTGGTATCTATTAAAGCCATTAAAAAGTTTAAATAAAGAGCTGAAAATATGTCGATTTGGTTCTCTATAGCCATTTTATCTGTTCTAGTACCATTTGTGCAATTGACGGTAAGCTGAAATTGCTTAAACTCCTTTATACGTTGTTATAGAATCCGCTTAGGTACAATAATGGACTAAATCTGTTTCCATACCTTTTTTAGCCAATAAGACCTAGATCATGCCTTCAAGCCAAAGAATTAGTAGCTCAGCGCAACGGCTATTACGTACTATTTGATAGCACGAATAAACCCTTCATGACTTACTGCGATTTTGAGTCTGATAAAGGTTTTGCTTGGACATTGGTCGAGTCTCTTTCTTTAGCTAAGGCAAAGACATCTAAATATCAAAAAAATTTTTACTATGACGAAGAATCTGATGTTTGTACAGTCAATTGGGCTGAATACCGACTTTCAAAATCTAAAATGCTATCAATCTACCAAACACCTGGCTCCGATTATGTTCGAGCCACCTGTAATTTTAATGCTGGTATAGATGGAGGTTTAATTGATCATCGTGACTATTTCCGCGTTGCAACTTGCCGTTATAATATGTTTGCCATATCTAATTCTTTTGGTTGTATATCCCTCGATTACTTTAATGTACGAGGCTATTCATGTCGCAAATGTTCGGTTTCAGTTTATTACGGTAGGTCAAACTATCACACTTTTATTGATGTCTCGAGAGCGACACAGAGTTGTTCAAGATTGAAAATACCTGAAACTATAAATAATGAAGAAGCTTTTGGCCGATACCGAACTGTTAATCCAAAATTTAGATGTAGTACAAATTCTACATCAACTACAAATTGGTGGTTTGGAGGAACTGTAATCGCGTAGCTAGCAACGTCTGCAATACTGTTCTAATAACCAAATCAGGCACTTTGAGCTCATGTTGTACGTACTAACATAAAGTCAGTAACTTTTCTACAAGCATAACTTTCGCTAGTGCAAATAGTTTTACAACAACTTTGCGAAATAGCATTATAAGCTTTCTTTATTTGAATGAGTTAAAGTAATATTTTCGTATATAATAACTGCCGGTGGTGGCTTTTTAATATATTTTTCCTGAAACTGGCCGTAACTTCTTTTAGAATTTAGTGCGTAGTATTTTGTTTTATGGTTAAAATTTCTAAATCTTAATAAAAGTGATTACTATGCTATGTGCGTATCACTAACTAAATAAAAAATTTTTAATTTTTCCAAGAATAAAATAATGAGCACCGATTAAACTGACTATCTGCTGATAAGTATCAATTTAGCAAACGCGTTTGATAAAGCAGCTTTAGCAGTGACGTTATATCAGCTCACAAATTAAAAATTTTTAATTAAAGTCCATTTTAAGAAGTTTAAGCACAGGCAGTGTACAATGCAATGATTAATAAAAGCAATAATTTATTCATTATGACGTTAATGAAGTTAAAAATAATAAGATTGCTTAAATAAACAAATTACTTACAGTATATGTGGCAGTCATTACAGAATATTACTTCCAGAAATTCTAATCGCACAGATTTTAAATTTTAGAACTTAGCGGCGATGAACTAGTAACTATTATCCAGATAGTCCGTCTACGAATAAGCCAAATATGTAACTGATAATCATTACAGATCTGTTCTTATCATCCTAATGTATTCGAAAGACCCTCTGTTACCGAATGATTGTATTACAAATTTATTGATCTAGGAACTTAATCAGTCATATAATATGTAGTAACGAAGGCCAGTTTTTAACGTGCTTATTTCTTTATAATAATAATATAAAACTCTGGTAGGCACTATTTTGTTGGAAATTATTGCTATTAGATCTTGGAATGATGAAATTAGAAACTAATTCTTACCTCCTACTATAATGTGACGGCTCAACGAATAAATTAGGAGTAATGCTTAGGCATCTTTTGAAAATAAAACTACTAAACTATCCACGGCAGTTGCTTTTATGAAAAATGCTAAAGTAGAATATCGTTCTTTTAATTAACTAGAATTATTCTTAGCGTTTCTCGTAAGGTAAATAATTGTCACTTTGTGTTCAATCTTACTTACAATTAGATCAATAATGGATATTACCGGCACATTTTGCAAAGCATTGCTAAATAACAATCCATTTGAACGTAATGTACGCGTATACACTAAAAATGAACCGATGGGTCATATTCAAACATGTGCATCAATTAAATATCATTCGGTGTCACCCAAAGTGAGAAGTAATTTACTATTATGTTTTTCAAATTACGAATTCAGTTTTAGAATAAGTTAAAACTGCCTACAGTGAAATTTAAACGAAAACTTAATTCGCATTGTATTCAGGCTTGAAAGCTATACACAAAAGAATAAACCTATTCGAAAATTGGTTTAGTAATATGAGCAATGAAAATAAACGTATTGCAACAGTGTCGAATTTATATTTTATCGCTTTATTACTAGACATAATACTGTCAACGCTACTTACAGTAAGTTAATATTGCATTTATGCACCTGATAAATGGCATTTCGCCTCAGGTCTCTAAATTAAAATTTTGTCCATCTTTCATTTCTTACCAATTAAACCTAAATTTATACCTTCTAGCAAAAAAGATGTTAATCAATTACCCCGTACTATGATTTTGAGTCTAATCCTAGATCTACCTGGATGTTGATTGAATCTTCATCATTAGCTACATGGAATTATCCATCTATTAAAGAATTTTGCTAATGAATAACAATTTTGATTGCTGGGGAGTCGATTGGTCTTAATTCTGGCTAGCTAAATCCGGAATGGCATCAAGAATTTGCCTAGTTCTAGTAATTTGATGACTTTCCTGCAACTTTAATGCTGATCTAAACAAAAGGTTAACTTATTATCGTGACAAATTTTCAAATAGCATTTTGTCATTAAATGAAATTTTCGGTAATTTGACTTCTTTACTTATGCAGCAGTATTGGTTTGCATAAATTAAAGTATGTTAGTGGGCCGTGACTGATGATGAAACGGTGAAGTATGCTTGAGGATAAGGCGTTTCGACACAATTAAGAATCCAAGTCGGTCTAAGATCATTAATTTACGAACTCAATGTAGTAGCAGTAAGGCTATTACAGTAGCCGTCCATTATTTAATTGTACGCGGCTATTTTTATAGCGACGGTGCAGAATAGCAGAGTAATCAAAAATTTTTATATGTATTAATGTTTCTTAAGTATCTCAAACGTGATTTAAGATTGAAAAAGTCCTGCCATAATTACAAACGTAGTAGCTTTCGGCCAATATAATGCATCAAATCCGAAATTCAGCTGCTCGAGCAGTTCAAATGTGACTTCTAATTTGTATACGGGGAATTACAATTAGATGAGCTAATAATAAATATGGCAGTGCCTGCTTATCTGCATTTAAGTATCTTGATCCTAATGCTAGCGCCTATTAATTTCCTAAATTATCATTTTAGACCATTTGTTAACGCTCAAGGATGCATTAGTATAAAGGTAAAGTTGTAGCTGCTAATATGTTGTTAAGTTGTCTAAGTTTACAATTGAAGATGGCAGATTGGCTGTATAACGATGCAAGGGATATCTTTCTATCAGATTATGATGTTTAAAAGGTTTATTTTAAAGTATAGTACATAAATACTCTTATAGCAGTAGTGAAATAGAAATGTTAATAAAAAGAATCAGAATATAGCGATTATGATATTAAAAGAAATGAAAGCAATATATTTGAAAATCACAGATTCTACATCGTATGCTCTTTTAATACATGTATCTAACTACACTATCAACCTTATAACAAGTAAATCTCTGCCAGTAAATCGAATAGATAAATCAATTGCTAAGCACACACATTGAAATCCTTTGTATTACCTATAAGCCATCGTAGACTACGCTAAATAGAGCAATTTTAAGTCAATAGAATAATATAAGCTATGTTCCAGACCAATGTCCAATTCTAATGACGTACAATAATACATTGTACGTACGACTAATAGTAAATATCATGATTTATTATGAGGATACTAGACAATTCATAAAATTGTCTTCCACACTTATAAGTCACGTTTAATAGTTTTGCTTCACATCTCGAAATATATTAAAGTACGAAGATATACAAATAAATTTTTTACTGCAATAACCACTGCATTATTCATATATCAGCTCTAATTTAATTGAAAATTATTTTTATACAACGTCCTAGTAATTTCTAACTTTGGATATTTCAACAGAATTTTACGTAACATTATTAGCTGGTACCTGTGGTCGATTAGAAACAGGCCGAATCTTTTGCAAATTTCTCAGTGAACGTTGAGAAATATTTGTAATACGCAAAAAAATAAAAATAAATGGGTCAATTACACAGTTAGAGTAGGATAATAATGTCGCAATTGGCCAATATAGAGAAAGCGACTCAAAGTTAAATGTTTGAAATAGGGCACAAACTAAAAGAAAGGTAATGGGAAGATAAACAACAGCATTAGTGAGAACTATGCAAGCCAGCATAACATTAATTCGATGTTGTGTTTTATAAACAAGTTCTGACGTATGTCTTCGAAGACTTTTTCGCAATCTGCAGCTAATTTTAATATATAAAATGATACTTGCAATGCAGGATGCAGTATTCATAAAAACTTCAAAAGCTGACAAGTATAAAATGAAGCCTACTGTTACCGGCTGGCATAAATGCACAATAATATTGTATTGAAATATGAAGTTAGTCTGCTGAAGGATCCATTTCATCATAAAATCGGAGCCAATAGTGATAGTTAATGAAAGAATTAAGCTTACTAACCAACCGAAACAAATGAATAATTTTGTGGCATTCATATTAAATTTTTGACCATGAATTGGATGATAAATAGCCAGATAGCGTCGAATCGTAATGAAAAGGGTAAACATATTAGCACAACCTAATCCAATTTGGCTAAAAAACCGAGCAGCAGAGCATAGATGATTGATGATCCATGTGTCTTCTAAGGCAGTAATATTGCCTAGGTGAGGACTTAAATACAGGTTTCGATTAATAGCCTTACTACTGTTCAAGGTACCGTTAGAAACGTAATTTGCTCTGAGGAGGGATATTAGGTCTCCACTATTCATGATACTAAAGTAAATACTGCTGCCTAAATCTGCTAGGGCTAAGTGTAATAATACTAACAGCGCAGGGCTATTTCGAATGCTAAGGGTATTAAATCTTTTATTTCTTTGCAATTGTAAGCCCTTTCGTTGTCGGCTAGATAGCAACAATGATAATATAACAAATATATTACCTAAAACACCAAATATACCCAAACTCCAAGATATAATACGAAGAGAATTGTATTTTAAATATACAGTTTGATTATAATTCCGCATGTCGATGTTTAATTTAGCAATTGCTGTGCAATAGTAATTTATATCATTGTATAATACCTAGCAAGAGAAAAAATCACCTTGTTGTGAGATCAGAATTGCAAAAGATTAACAATTAAATTCTCATAGCCAAAAGAAACCTAGAAATTTAGAGTAATTGACGTCTATACATGATAACTAAAAGTGCTGTAGAGAAAGAGAATTCCGTCATTGTAAATTATTACCAAATTTTACACAACCGTCAGCTGTAGCTGGAATACTTTTTAAATGACTTCATGTAATGTGTTTAAGAATCAACGCTACCAATGACTGCTATTTCACTTCAATTTATCTCCATTAAGGCTAAGCCAAAAAGTGATCCCTTCTACATATTGAGATATTAGAAACTAAGTATAAAAATTATATTCGATCAACTGAGCTAACTTATTTAATTAGTAAAAAATAAATATTATTGACTGGTAATATAACTTAAGCTAGTCTAAAGCCAATGTATCACAAACGAATGGCAAAATCAAAGCTAAATGAAATCTTCAATCTCAAAGGACACTTATCGTAGCCTATATACTAATATTTTATATATTTCGCAAAGTAATATACAGATACAAATAACTACGGTATTTTAAGTAATTTATCATTAATTATTTATCACGGTTTTGTTCCGATATTGAAAATATAGCTTAGCAAATTAGCCGACTTCCCGAAATTTCAACCCATGACTGTTTCGAAGCCATGTTGATAAAGCTATGCGGACTTATTAATATACTGTAAAATATGTAATAGCAATATTAATGAGGATAAAGAATTATGTCTAAACCTAGGTCATTCTTACTATTGTGAGTCAGTGAATCAGCAGCCATTGCTATAACATGAACGTAGCATCGCATAAAATTCCTTCCTTGATTTCAGGATCGTTTAAGTTTCTTACACTTTCTCCATACGAAATTGATGGGAATAATATTATAGAATATGTGCGTGCAAGAACTAAAGAACAATAATAGCGGTTGTTTTGCGTTTCAACTTTTCCTACAGACCCGCACTGCTTCACATCTACTTTATGATTTTATTTGGTATTACCTTATATTTTAATTATCCAAAGTTGGTAATTAAAGAGCAATAGTCACAGTTCTTTTAAATTTCAACTTTTCCATTAAATCTGCACCGCTTCACAGCACATAATTTGATATCACCTTATATTGCTTTCAAAATCCAAAGCTAGTCATAAAATGATAAGATAGCCTAATAAAACTTCATCAGCTGCAATGCTTCGTAGAAGAATCTAAACTGACTTTAAACTAGTTGCTTGCTGGTTGAAACTTAATTTCTGATTGTAAGGTTATTATTTAGAGACAGAAAAACCATAGTTACCAAATAATACTTTTAGCAATCGCGCGTACTATTTACTAATTAAACACGCAATTAACTTTAATTTCAAGAAAATTGATGCCATAGTAACTTCATAATGAAATGATATATATCATAAAGATGAAGTCTTTATTTGATGCAAATAACCATAAGTTTAAGATTTGCGATTCATCGATCATATCAGTGTTATAACAGTACATCGTTTAATTTTACTGTCCCTCTGCTATACTCAGCTACTTTTGAACATTCGCATTAACTATAGCAGCTTCCAACAATTTTAATATATTTCACTAATTAGTTTCTTCGATAACTAGTTAAGGTTACGGTAATCCCTTTTATTCTAAGGATCCAACTTTTCAAACTAAAATACTTGTTTTCTATCTCGTCAAATAGTATAATGATATCGGGAAATTTTAGCAAATTGCACTAGTTACAAAGACAGTACCGCATCCAATTAAACTAAGAAAATAGAATTCTTTCACGAAATAATTATTCATAGTGAATTAATCCAGGTGTTTCGAGGCAAACCTGATAAAATATGATATACGAATATATTTATTATTATTACACCAAAGCAGCTAATAATTACAGCGAACAACGACTTGAAGATTGAAGTAGCCATTTACAGCGCTTTAGGACGATTACTCATTAAAATCAATGCCCAGAATTAGCCTTTACGAAAATATGAATTAATCATCCAATGATGTCATGCGATTAATCATAGAGCAGATAAAGCTAAATACCCATTCAGAGAAGAATTCAATGAGCACATAAAAATTTTAATTCAATAGCGAAATTGCTTGGGTTTGAATATCACAGCTGTTGGTCTCATTAATCAAATCGAAAATTATTTTTTTCCTATTGCGTATTCAGTAACTCATACAAGAACTGTATCGTCATTAAATTTTGCAAATAGTTGATATACGTTTTACTTCTCGTACCCATTACAGTAAATCGAACTAGTATCGGTTATGAAGGCATCTGCTCGTATCTATAATAATGAGTATAGGCTTTTAAAACCTATACTCATCTACAATAAGTGAACATATAAGATACACATTCAAATTAGACTCATTAAATCCCAATCTATTTTTGTAATCACCTGAAATACACATTAAAATATCACTGATTTTGAAGTGGTGCACATAACTTTACAGTAATCATCGCACGCACATTTTTGTGACATAAACATTTATTTTATTTTATAGGTAAGACAATTTTAGCTGAATGAGCAATGATATTAGAGTCGTTGCCTTAATTATAGCAGATTTAAATATTTTGTAATCATGTAAAGTAGGTTATTTTCAAAGGAATTCATTATCAATCATTTTCTGCCGATGAAATATCTTTCTTAACTTCTATAGCATTTGCCTTGAGTTATTACGGTATTGCCAGTGTATTAAGTTAGGTTAGGTCCCAGGTTACAAAATTAAAATACTTTTACACGCTTTACAAGCTAATGAACAACTTTAACCCTAAAATATGCTTTTGGAATAAATTTTATCACTATAAAAATAAATCTTTTGAATATTTAACCGCAAAAATAAGCACTAGTAAATATAAAATATTTTCCCTATTTATTGCCTGAACGTTCTACATGCTAGTTTTACTGTAGTCATTAATTTAGTATAGGGTAATTTTAGTCAATAAAGTCATCAAAGTAAAGATAAGAGCATTTTATTAGTGCTTACACCAGGAATCAAAACTATTTTTTACCAAATTTTTACGACCATTATAATTAAGAGTGATTTATTTATTAACTTAGCTACATAGTATTGATATTATTTTAAAGATAGATTTCAATTTTACAAAATTTCTGTATGAGAAAGAGTCCAGAATCGTTAATTCGAAAGACAATGAATTTCATTGTGTAATTAAATACTTTAATTTAATTAATTTATAATTGCCAATCTGGTAGCAAAGTATTCAACTAAATATAAACTGACTATCAAGATATATAATTAGAAAATGGCCAATGATATGAATACGGCCAATATGCTAACTAGAAAGCAAATTAAAATCATTTTTGCATAGTATTCTATACCTGTAGAGATAACTCTAGCCTTATTTTTGCTAATGTCATTAATACTGTCCGTGAATGTATGGATTATCAATGGCTTTAATTTATTGAAATATTTCAAACAAGACAAAAGGTTATATCCAATACAATTTCTTTCACAAAGCCCATAGATCATACGTCTAGTACAAAGTAATTTATGAAAACGAAAATTAACTAGTGGCATCAACTACTAAAGGAAAAGCTTATTCAAAATAGAGAATTTTAACAATGGTGACATATTGTAGTCTTTTAATATTTATCTAGTGCCATACTTATAAATAAGATTATTCTGTAATAGGAATATTTTAAAATTATAGTAAAAACTATAATAATTATAGATAATTGAATGAATAATAAACAAGAGATTTAAATTTATTTAATGATGTTTAGCTAGGATATTTAATGAATTTCGGACTGCATTTTCACAATAATGACTTCGGTAAGTCAAAATACTAAAGTAAGCTGTTTTATTTAATTCTGCTGAATGATTAATGAGGTCGATAGCTTGCAAAATAGATGTCAAAAAATAATTATTTTGCCATGAATGTTGGGCGCAAGTATAAAAAATCAAGTAGTAAAGCAAAGATGATATCATTTGTGGCTTATAATTAATTATAACTGAATCTTATTCAATATTTTCGATATAGGATAGTGTCGTAGTCAGCCCACGACAAGGAGACCTGGGCCTTTGAAGTTATATGAATGCTAAGGCTACAACAGCCAAGTATGCTCCAACGGGCTAAGCGTAGACTAGTCTTAGGCTTTTAAAATAGTTTATTGAACGAAGGTAGTCTTGCCATCCAAGACTACTCTGACCCCACGGTCAATCGACAACTGATCTGCTAGTGAGAGTGCTGGGCTTTATATATACCCTAGCTCGGTTGCACTCGGTGCACAGCTTAGGGAAACAGCTCTAAAACATACAGCTTTTGTATAGCCGACTGTCTATATGGTTTAGTATGGCAGACGGCGTAAACAACACTAATGAGTTATGAACTAATTAAGAGCCAATTAACAACCAAAGGCTCAGCACAAAGTAACAGAAATTACTATGGTGTGAATATTATTTATCACCTCTGTAAATACATTGCTCTGCACAGAGTCTACAACAAGTACTGTATAATTAGACTACTAATAATGTTACAATTGTCCCATAACTAATAAATAAATGTCATTAACAATTAATAAAATCTTAATTACTAATTACTAAGGCTAAGGCCACAATTAATTGACGGAGTCTATACTCCGTCACAGATAGTTAGCTTATTAAGTCAGTTTTCATATGCTTTTATTTCACGATTGTGAACAGTTTGTACCATAAAAATTAACGAATTAATTAAATTACGTTGAATCGTTAAAACATTCTAAGTAGTAACCAGGGACGTTTAGTAGCTGCCAGCATAGAGCTAGAAATTGCACTGTCTTATAAAGTAGTTTATTAAGCGTCCAACTTGTGGTCGTAACAATAATATTAAAATATCTGCAGCAGCTATATGAGCATATCATATGAATTTAATGGCGCTGCTTGACCAACTAGGTAAATTAACATTCAACAATTTCCGGCCTTTATCAATATAACGGCTAATAGAAAATTAATCTGCAAATACGATGGAGATTGTCTTTGCAGGTGATCTTTAAAGGATATTATATCAAAATTTTATTTGCATCACAAAGCTAAGATTTCAGCGAAGATGATAATATGCTGTACAGTATCAATTGCAAGGTTAAATTAATTTTAACTTATAAGAAGTAAAACTCTTTTAAACTACATTGTACATGACCGTCTAGTCTTGTGTAAGATTAGCCTAAAAGACTGAATTAATCAACACAAACGATAAAATATGTAATTTATGTTTATCAAACATTAAAGTAATATACAATGTATCGCACAGCTGCCTAAACCTATATTTGTTGTTAACTTTACATCTGCATTTATAATCGAAATATGCTACAAAAGGAGTGTACCGTCTACAGATGATCTGAAATATATTGTACATACCAAACCTAATTAGCAAAAATTTATTAATAGAATACAATGTAACAATAGAGTTTAAATTAAATTAGTAAACTATTACGAAGAATATAAGTTGAAATACAAATTTTCGTAGATGATTTACCGACAAAGCAGTATTGGAATTCAATATTCAATATATAAAATCATTTTAAGATTAAAATGTTTTTGGTAACGATTATAGCACAAATATGATACACTAATTCCTCTGTCAATAATTATAATTAAATGTAAACAAAACATTTGTATTTTTGCCTACTATTGCAATGGTTCATTTCAAAAAAGCAATAGCCTCTTCCTGAAATTCCTCAGTCACTAATTGAAAGAGAAAATTACGTGATTATGATGCAACTAAGTAATTGTATGCTGCAAACGCTGCTGTAATCATTTAATTTCCAAGTACTGTGCATACCTTTCGCTGGATAAATTACATTCTAGATCTGTTGGCGTGTAGACATCGCCATCATCGATGTCCGTTGAATTACTAGAAACAGATGGAATGCTGGCATAGTCATGGTCTTGCGAAACAGTTTGCTGGGCAAAAGGAGATGCGCTATCGACTACCATAGACGGAGAAATATTCAATAGACAGTCATCGGACATTTCCTCTTTCGTGGCGATATTTACTGGATTATCAGACTCTTCACACAGCAATTTCGAATCAGATTCCTGAGATACCATGCCTGGAGAGCTTTGTGAGGTATCATACTCTTCATCTTTACTGTCTGATTCAATATCGCTATTTGCTGAAACTATATTACTGTCAATACCTTTATTTACCGTCTCGGAATTGGATTCTGTATCAATTGTACGTTTACGTGTTTGACCGCATTCGATAGCACCATCAATTAGATCGTCATATTCTTGGAAATTGTAGTTTATTTCCTTTCGAGCACGATTTGATCGGCGACTAGTAGAATCATCATTCTGAAGCTATAGAAATAATAAATGATATTACAGCGCCGTAACAATACATATTGCATATCATGAAGCGAATTTAAAAATGCAATTATATGAAAAACCATTTCTGACATTGATAATATTGCTATAATCAAGACCATTCATTTTCATTCTAGTAAGAAGGCGAAATAAGCTCACGTTAAATATAACGGTAAACGATTACTTAATTTTCATTGGCAGTTTTACTAACCGTCTGCTCGCTCTTTCGAGAGCTCTTTGCTTATATTCTAACTTTGTAATGTTATCTTTAAGATTTTTGGCAAGATTGATCTGAATTAAGAAATACCGCAAAGTAAACCTATGCTTAGCCATCTTCAATTAACCTTTACATTATCTTATAATATCAAGAACGTATAATATCTTGTTTATACATTTTAACGATGCCTCAATAAAGTAGGGGATAGTTTTATTTCCTACTTTCAAGTTGTCAGTATCTGCATAATCTGTAATTGTACAGAAAATAAACAATCCAGTTACCTCATCGCAAAACGGGCAGTAAAAGTTGCCATCAGGAATTACAAATAGCGGAGGTCGAAGACAACTCATATGATATCCAGCATTGCATGAATCACACAAAAGAATCTAAAAGCCAAACATAATTAGCTGTTATTGGTAGATTCCGCAAATACAATTACTTTACAAGAAAATGACAGTTTCTGTTATTTCAAGTAAAAATTTCTAACCGTTGCTGGTGATGCACAACTAAAGCAAGCCGTGCAAGGCTCATCCGCATCATTTTCCCAATCATCTGAAGCACGCTTTCTAGATTTTTTAACAAACTTACGAGCATCTTCGCGTGGATTCAACTGTATGCGATCAGATAATATTTCATAGATACTACATAATTGCTCGTAGTTTCTATAGTATTAAAATACAATAAAACTGATTTAATCTTCATATCTATTCCAACTTGATAAACTCCTTCACTCGGATAACTTCACCTGCAAACCACTGTCCATGTGGAACTATCATCATCATCCTCTTCTACAGCATACAATCGAAGATTACATTCTTCATCCTAATTTTTTACGCAAAATATCGATAAGGAAAGGTTATTTGTACATGATAATACAAATAATTAATGGTGGAACGGTTAAAACTGAGGCATTCTTGCATATTTAATTTACAAGAACTTAGCACAAATTACATTGCAAGGTTACTTAAATTTTACACGTAATGATGTCAAAATTTGTTATCTGTAAACTGAATGTGAAGATATTGGTATCATACGAAGTATCTCTTGTTAGAATAGTTTGACAAGAAACATACTAATAGTTACAACAAATTAAAATCTATTTCATGGAGAATGGATAGCATAAACCTTACCTGCTGGTACCAATAAACTAACCCAAAGCGATCTCTGCCTATTGGCTGCTGCCGCAATTCCTTAGCAAGGAATGGTCTAATGTTCGTTTTCAGTTTTAGATTTTTGTCAAATTGCGCTTCACAAAGCACCTACAGTACAAATAAAGTTCATATTTAATTAGATAACGTTTATTATAGCATGTTGTTAGCATGTTTACTTGTACAGTTGTAAACCCGGATAAAAAGGCATCTGAATAAATTTTACTGCTTATAGCAAATAATCAATGCACGAGTAACATACTTTTGTCACAAAAATTTTACTCTTGAGTGAAAATCCATCATAGTCAAATTCTTCCATTTCCCATAATACTTTTTTTTCGCCGTCGTATTCTCGTGCTAGCTGCAAAAGAGCAGGTGCAGGTTACCAGAGTAATATAACTAACAGCCGCAAGAACTAATTAAGTATGCTAAAAGTGGTGACGTATATAAGCTAAATCGCTTAACTTTATGCGTCGTTTGCTAATCTAAAGTGATGTTGGTTAACAAGCCTCTTAAACAACCTCAATAATAAATAAATAAAAGGATGCTGCTCTGGTGAATGATTCACTTCTGAGTTAGTAAAATAATTTTCACTTATACTTCTCATGGTTACTCTTACAATGCAGGTCTTCTTAACGCCACTAGTAGATCAACGAATCGTTTGATTCATTGGAGTCATTATTACAGTTCATATAGCTATATAGTATCAATGTATGAATGCACAGTCTAAATCCTATTTAACTTGCATGAACATGTGCGTACCTAAAGGCTGTTGTAATTTTTCATCAGCAATGAACCGTGATAAAACTGCAACTATTTGAAAAGGTTATGATTTCCTTAGCTCATTTACGCATTATAAATTAATAATACCGATATTCTTCGTAATCATACGTATTATAATCTATTTATGGCGTTTCAGGTAAAGTTGATCCTGCATTCGATTTATAACTATGGTCATCCTGTAATTGCATAGCACTGTAACCTCAATTAAGAAAAATTAAGTAGTAGTATCATGCTTCCATCGACGTCCTGGAATTGTACTGAGTTCGAGTTGCAATGTTCTATTACAGATCCAGATCTACTACGAATGCTCACACGCGGTCAATTCATGGTAAGTTGGATATCGTTATCGACTGCGCTAATTCATGTATTGCAGTATTCTTGTGACATCAGCAAGAATACGATCGCACCAAATGCTACAGATTGAAAAGATGGTGCAACTGCCTACACGCTTATCTAGTCAAATTGAAATTAACCGCATTTGAAATTAGAAATGATACGTGATGATGACAAATAGGTTTAACGAATTGCGTCAATGTGTGATTCTCTATTGATGCAGGCGCAAAGTTACAAGTAAGGTATGCAAAATATTGGTTAGAGAGGATGCAGAATGGTTGGATATGCAAACATAGTCATATAGTACAGTACTGTAGAAGGGTAAAATTAGACATTAAGTGTATAAAACCAAGCAAAATATATAACGTAGATAGTATGCATATTAAAGTGGTGATATCCAATAATCTACTTACAGCGATGACCTTATTCTTCCAGGAGTTTCCATTAGGGGCAACGTTTATCCCAATTGCTCGTAACAATTTGACATGAACATCCACTGCATATTGTGCATCTTCATCATCCGCTATAAGAGAAATTTGGAAATCAAAACATATTAAGAAATGAATTACACAATACTCCATGACATCATGACATAATATGCAGAAGACCGAGATTAATGGAATGTGGGGTGCGACATCGGAGGAACTAGAGCACAAACTAGTAAGTCCTCGTGTGTTCTCATAGTTGCAAAGACTGCTGCAATCAACATTCCTGCAGCATCACCGTGCTTCACTATACAGTGTAGAGTTACAGTAGCCAGAAGCTGGTAACTTAGCCTTGAGCATGCATTTAATAAGGAAAACAAAACTATACTACATACTCTAGAAAGCAAAATACAGTATTGAAATTCGTGGAACGTGCAAGATATGACATCGAAGTAAATTAATTTACTAAGGCACAAAATAGTCTTTCCTTGCGTGCACCTGTAGTTGCAAAGATTCGCGTAATCAACATGATCACAATGTTCCTGCACTTACCGTAGCCAGAAGATGTTAACTTAGCATCGGGCATGCATTTAAGTAGTACAATAAAGTACAAAAGGTAATATACGAGACTAGACCTCACGATGACAAACTGACGCTCGCTATAGTATGGTAGTATGTCGATTTTACCTGACAATGATGTATTGATTTGCAACACGAATTGACACTTGCCTTGATTGCTTCCGCTGTGTAAAGCGAGAAAGCCTCGGTCCAATATTTCAATTTGTAGCTGTGCTAATTTACAGTAACTACTGAATAACTTTAGATAGGAACATATCACCGCAAAATCTGGATAGATAGAGGCAGACCAACGACGCTGATTATGGACTGTTGCTGCAGATGTCAAGATCATGTTTTGATTCGTATTCGCCATAATAATATTTTGCTAGCTGAGCAATGGAATCCCTCTTGTTCTTGCAGGGTTAGTTTCAGCTTACACTAGTACTCTAGAAGTCAATAATTGATTGACAATAATATTTTCTTCTATCGATCTTTCTGATCACCTCTTGTTATTAGCTAATCTTGAATGATATTCATAAATTACTTACATGACCGAAATCAGCACTTCTACCAGCTCCATGGAAAGTGCAAGTAAGCAGTAGCCATGTTGACTTGACTGCCTCAGCCGGACTGACTTTGGTCGAGTTGGCGAATACAGTATCTACTGAAGGGTACAGTACATTCTACACTAGAATCTACAGTATAATGCACTGTAAGCAACAGATCGTAAAACTAAGTCCAGGCAGGCTGTCCCCTATTGCCAGTACAGGAGAGGAAATTTCCAATTCAACTGGCCAATAGTAGTAAACAAATGAACGGTATCGTACGCTATACTATACCAGTATGATATGATCAAGCACAGTCTGACTGGGTAGAGCAATCATGGCGGGAATTACGAAAATGATGCATATCTTTTTCCAGAAAGTCCAGCCATTTTTTGATGTTGTAGAAAGGATAAAAGATCAAAAATACATTTTGTGGTTCCCGGTCATGGACTTTGCAGAGAAATCTAGATTCTACAGTAGTAGTCTATGTACGAATCCACGATACACTTCATAGAGGTGCTTTGGTACAGCATTATGATTATGTGCTATATAATGAATTAGTCTTAAGATGTCCACCGATGTCACACCGATAGTGGACATTTGACAGGAAATGCTCCATTTCGGAGTTGTAATAAGTGCGTTTTACAATAACTATCTTAGTCAAATGGTATTTTTCTTAATGGCTTTTATTACAAGGTTTTAGGAACAGTAGAGCAATAATTGATTACTACAAGAATCTAGTCTAAAATTGAAAGTATTCCGAACTCAAAGCGAAGTGAACTCTCTTCTCCCTCGTCAGCTCATCTCTGCAGTTCTTATATATGTTATATACATTTAGTTAAATCCATTTTATGACAACTTGATAAATCTACAATCAGACATGAGTCAGTAAACAAAATACTTCTCTCTAATAGTACATCATTATTTTCTACTATCGAAATCATTCTCCTTAAGATGTCACTACTCTTCTATTAACGTCTAGCCCCTTTCTGCGAAGGGGATCTTAACAACTACAATGTTTCTAGCTACATAAATCTTGTACCATAATTAGTCAACTGGCTACTATTAGTTCTAATATAGTAGTTTAGCAATCATCTAATATTAGCTTCACGATAATATCGATCTATTCAAAGTTACCTAACTATATCAAATATAGCTATCCGTATAATCAAATATGCCTACATCACTACAGGAGTTAAAAGAGCTTTACTTTGAGCTTTCCTCTACGGTTTTACCCTCACGATTTCTTACTGTATACGTACATCACTCGAGTACTTGGGTCGCAGCGCTACTCAAAATGGCCGACCATGTCGCTTGCTGTCGGCCTACAGCAGTTGACTGCAATCATTAAATTAAATAAAATTCAATACCTTAGTGCGTAAATGACAACTCCAGCTAGTGGTAGACTAGGACAGCTCGAGTCTCTATAAATCAAATGCAGTGATGGTGGATTATGGTTCATAAAATAGGAATGAATTGATCAAAGAATTGCATAACACTTTGTTGGATAGAGTGCGGTATAAAATATTGACAATTTGCTTGCTGTACATCGAGCATACGGTATTCTCTTATGGATTGCAATAAAAGTAAACTTTTATCTTAAATTAGTTTTGCCCAACTTGATTCTAAGGTAGTTGAATACAATTCAATACATATACATATAGATAGATAGATAGCCTTCCTTATTACTGGTAGCAATCAATTCTAATCGCTCGCTTCATTTATACAGTACTATATAATGATAATAATGCTAAGGACGAGACTTACAACAACAAGGAATAGGTAATCTAGTGTATAAATAAATGTATCATTAGACAATAATTTCAAGGCAACAATTACCTGTTCAAAGAGAAATGAAGAATCTAGTTGTAGTGTAAACATCCCATATATAAGATAGAGTTACTAACTTTTGTTGACTAATTAATCAGAATCAGGCTTGTTGAACAAATGTCAACATCACTATTGATAGGTGCTAAGGGAAATTATGTGAGAATTAACTCATTAACGAAATGACTGTAGATTATATTAATGTTTGCATAATAATCAGCTATGATTGGTTAATGGATTGCTATATTAAAATAATGTTACATCACACCTATACTCTAGAGTTTGATGAGCTGGTATGGTAAATTCAACGATTTATATTGGAAATAACGCTAAGCCGATTCTGTATAAATAGAGAGAGATATATCAAGATAGTAGTCTGTCACCTATTTTACTGCTTCGGTTTTATTAGATCCGCTCGCAAGCCTTTAAAGGTATGTAAGAAACACTACTATTACCCGAACCACAATTAGAGCTATTAGACGAAGGGTAATCTTATAGGACATACTGTAGGTCAATATACTTATATTAATTTCAGGCAACAATTACTAATAATGGGTGGGTAATTTAGTATAGGATATATTAAAGTAAATGCATTCAATAACTTCAAGGCAAAATTACTTGTTAATAATAGTAATCTGTAAGGATAAGTCAATGTATCAAGACCATAATTCAAGGCAATTACGTTTTTATTTTGCATCTACTAACGACCAAGTGAGAGAGTGAAAAGTTTGAAACGCAATTATAGACACGGTAGTCATAATGCGATGAACACAATATATTAAATTTGAGCGTAAAGAGGAATTTTTTGCCTAACTTTATTATGGGTATTTGATTAGAATTAAGATATAGCCTATCTTATTACATGTAGCAACCTGTTTTAATCACTCTTATCATTATAAGATAACATAATATTAAACATGAGACTCATGTCAATGGGAAATGAGTAATTCATATAAATAAAGGTATTGTTAGACAATCATTTGAAGGCAACAACTAGGTTTAGTTTGCAGCCCAGCGGATTGATAAAGTATTTTAAAATCGAGCGATTGAAAAATCCTCAGATTATTAGAACTCGGTATGTGTAGAAAGTGGTGAATGGCAAGAGAAATGAACGCTGAGTATGCAGAGATATTATAATTATTGAATCCCATAATCTCTGAACGAGAATTATACGGTTACCGTACTATTCATAATTAGTTCTTGCCTTCATGCATTAAATACATAGCAATAGAATTATACTTCTAACTGACTTATCCATACGTAAATGTACCTTATTAAGTTAAAATGAAATTTTTTTAAGTTCCCCGTCGCCTTAAAATATGAACGAATGTAAATATTTCGAGCCGCAGGAGATAGCTGCAGTTAGGATGGAATCAGTTAATAATTATTAAGAATAAGGGTCAAAGAATGGGATATGTCACAGTACATGAAAATTGTTCAAGCGATACATGCAAGCCGTAAAGTCATAACCTGCTACCGTCGAAGAATAACTTTTTCAGTACTAAGCTCATCTTAAAACATTCAATTACTTCCTATGGATATAGCAAAGGCTTTACGTTTATAATATAAACCGAATGTCTATACTTGTATAGAGTTGTGAGGCTTTAGTAAATTGTAACACACTTTGAAACAACGCCGATAAGAAAGTTGGTAAACTAAAATTAAGTTTTTGGTATAGTCCGTTAGAAAGTTTGCTAATACCGATCATCATCTCTATATTCCGGTTTCTCTGTTCATGATCGAATAGATGGGTTTGTAATTCTGTAACTGAAATTAAAGTAAAATATTACGCTATCATCAATTTAACTCTAACATTTTTATGCAATATCATTGGACAATCTATTCATTTGACCTATTTATAAGACATTAACCAGAGCTAAAAATAGCAATTTACAGCATTGGCTTCATTATATGCTAAAGTATTAATCTAGAACATGTTGATGCAGAATCTTGAATATTTATTCGCTATAGACCATGCTTGCTTAGCCACTATACTGTACTACAGCTTATGAATTCTATTTCGCATTTATTACATCATCACAGATTCCCCTAGATTTAACTAATTCAACTCAATCTCATCAAATTATTTCATCGTAGTTATTGCATATGAACTAAACGATAAATGCTATACTGAAATAATTTGCAATTTCAATATCTCATTTTCATGGCAGTAATAGTGACTGCATCAATAATCGCTTACCCATTCTTGAGTTGCTTTCCATTGACATCTATTATCAACCGGTGGGCTGGCATTATTCTGAAAATTTTCATTACTTGTTACATTATTATCTGCCTTTAACTTGCATAATACGGCCAGTTCCTCACATAATAGCTTGATACTGTTACGATCATTCATCAGTAAATTAACTTGGCTGGGATATCGTATGGCATCATGAAATACTTCAACTGTTAAAAATTTGCCCAATAATGCTTTAATTCTTTTGCCCTAGATATTTTACATATAATTACACAAGTACAACAATATCATTAGCAATTTTTCAATATAATTCATGATTTTAAATAAATTTATAACTTTATACAGTCACAAGATCGCACTACAACACTATATGTGACATAACATTCAGGTATTTAAGTGGATGAGTTCATTGTACTGCCCTATGTATTGCAAAATGATTCTGTTAAGTACCAATATAATATTGATGCAAGAATAATTCTATTTATGACGCACAAGGCCAAATTCGAAATTAATGACTGAATAAAGAAAGTATTACAATTACTCTAATATATTACGGTAGGTATTTCATATTGTAGCTTAAAACGATACTAAAATTCACGTTGTACTCGGCAAGAACTAAATTTTCCACATAATTATAGCATTTAGTGTAATAAATTAGAACATGTTACATTACCAATTAAACTAATTTACGATCAAGATTAAATGATACTCGTGTAGTTATGATCGAATTATAAATTCGCATATGAGTTCGATAATAAAAAAATAATAGACTGTAATATATCACTAATCATATTGTCATCTATTGATATTCGCTCTTGCATACATATTATAAATAAAATCCATGATTTACCTTGCTAGAAATAACAATATATACGCTGTCAGTGCTGATACTACCATGGATAATTAAATGTGATTGTAGTGAATTGACGGCAATTTCAATATCTTGAACAATGTGAGTAATACTTTCAGGAGTTAAATATTCAGATTGGCAAGAAATGAAGTCCTTTAATGTACATATATCTTCGCCAGATAAGGCGTAACATACTAATCTAAAAGATACGATAGTGTATATTACAATAGTTTTAGATGAATGACTTGAGCAAACTTTCCTGATTCATGAAATATATATTTAATATACCGACGCATAGGTTAAATCTAAACAAGAAATTTAGTTTATCACTCAATATTAGATCATAAAATCTCAACAGAGATACTTAACATGATATAAATATAGTCTATGACCTACAGTTCCTTATCTAGTTGTATCTTGAGTTTTTTGGTATCTATATTACACTTTTCGCCTTCCCTAAACCATTTATGTTCAGCAATGTTATGTAACTTCCAACTGTATAGCTTCATATTACAATAAAACTGTTTCTCTTTCTCCCAGAATTTCCTTTCCTTCTTCTTGTAGCAACTCAGCCAAGCCAATATACTTTCATTATCATGTTGGCTTGTTAGTCTTACCTTCAGACAGTTCTAAAAAATAACATTTATTCTTAAATTTCATATCTATCTTGATCAAATAAAGAAATATAGCCAAATTACGCTATAACATGATTAAAACTGGATACTAGATTGCGGGAATAAATCATACAATTATTACTTATTCATTTACACTACTCAATAAAGATATACAAGGCCCTCACTGTAAAGTAAGAAACCTTACTTTATTCTGTTTAAATTAATGCATTTGTTCGAAATAGATTAATTAAGATAAGCCATTCTATTAGCTATTCGACATTAGAAAGTAGTTAGTTTGTTTATGAATACGCACAAAATAAGAATTAGATTACTAAATTAAGTTATTTATTTACTAGCTCTAGTAATAACTGGAAATCTTGAACGATAGAAATCTTATAAAAAAACAGAATCACTATCATTTCATAAATGATGCAAACGGCTAAGGTACGCCTAATTCAATACCGGTATATATTTTATTAAACAAGGAGGTCAATAACAAAATCGGACGAAAACATCCTTAATTAAATTCAAATTACGACATTATTAAAATATTTCATCTTGTTACCATATTCTCTAGCAATTAATCACGTACTTTTGAGATACTAGATGTCACTGATGATGGTAAAATCAAAATTTTCTTATATTGGTGGAATTGATTTATGCAATCTAATCAGTTCAATCAGGTTTATAAAAGAAAAAATTACGATCAGTACAAACTCTCTTCAAGGCTTTAATTAACATCAAGCTAGCGGTTTAGTCAATAGTTAATTTATCCTAGGAGATATTTGGTATCCATAACTATAGATTATAGTGGTATAGACTCTATGCTAGAGTAAAGATGATTATATACAGTAAGGTGTTGAGCTACTAATAAGGCTATAGGTAAAAATAGAACTGTAAATCATGCATTAGGATATGGTTAATTCATTGTACTTTGGCTGGTGTGAATAATGTCTACGTAAGTACTGTAGTCGTATCCATATTGGATTAATGATGGTCCGCAGTAGAATAGTCTTTACTAAGAATAATTTAACTATGTGAAATATAAGGTATAAGGTTGCCATGCAGAATGTAGCTGCGAATGCTACGAAAAGTATAGAAGCATGCAACTTTAGATTATTCTGTTAGTTCGTTCTTGAAGTTTTTAGTAGTAGTATTCGGCTAGAGTAGAGCTGTGTGTAGTTAATCTTTGTATAAGATTCAATAAAGCCCTTATTTTTCTAAAATTTGGAATCTCGAGATTGGTATATATCGCACTTCGATTTTAAATAATATGTGATTGAATCCGTAATAACTTCTATTAATTTATTTTCAGTCTTAAACAATCTAGCAGTATATCATCAATTTATCTGCATATTCGATTTCGCTATTCTTCATAGAGAATAATTGTCACACTAAACGCCTGTCTACCACATTTAGTTTACAGATAGGACAGACTTATGAGGAAATAAGGAAATAAAACAATTATAGTGAACTGTTTGGAATTATGTGGCGTATGATGTTTATCTTCATATAGTACTGAGATATTAGGATAGTTCGATTTTATTAGACTCTAATATGTTGAGATACAGTGAATAAATTATCGTGTTTAGAATTTTCAGACTGGACACTATTATTGTCAATCCTAGCCGTGTTATAGGTCCAAAGCTACAATATCAGTACAAATATAAATCCCTTTTAGGTGCACATATTATTACCATACTTAATATAGCTGGAACCTATCACCACCAGTTTACTAACACTATCCTACGGCTAAGACCTTGCTATATTGAATCGAAATAAAGCAATAATATTTAAGCTACAATTATTTAAATAATTTCTCAATAGAAAAGTAAAGAAAATAATTTTCAGATATAGAGTTTACTGATATTTACAAATAACACTACACAAAGAAAATCAGGATTCTGCCATTTTCCGTTTAATATTCTTCTTGTTTTGAAATATCAAATAACTCTTCTAGTTTACTGCTGTAAGCTATCGAAATATTCACTGGAATGTACGCATATAATTGCTTATTCAAATTCTTAAAATGTTAAACCAGAAAATTGATACTGTTTGTATGAGTCTATATTCCAAATCGCCTAAAGATTTCTGAAACATTGTGGATCTCAACTTTCCAATACTGCGACGAACTACAATTACTAGTACCTTATGTTGTAATTCTGATATGATTACTATTGCCTTGTTTCACATAGTTTTTGTATGGTAACATAACTTTGCGGGAAATACTAAAAGTGTGACACAGTATCAAGTTTAAAATATGTAATTTCCATATTTCAGCAAGACTATTCAGTAGAAATGCGCTGATATATGGTAATAATAAGTAAAGAACCTTATTTTTCCAAGAAGTCCAGCTAGATAATACGGGTACATCTAATTATGTCAATGCTAATAGAATATATAAATACCGTAATACTTACGCCTATTAAAGCTATGCGCTTGATTTTTCTTCAGATTATTACTTTTTTCCGATTCTGTTATGCGAAAGCAGCAAATGAAATTTCTCATAATTGTAATGGTATGATCAATGAATGTTTTAGTAAACATTGTGTATAGAATTGGATTGATACATGAATTTAAAGGCAAAGATAAGACGGCAACAAATGTTAATAAATGAGTCTCCAACTCAGATATAACTATGCCACGAATCAATACAATGTATAATGGTAGCCAACATATAAGATCAGTAGCTACTATTGTAATCATTTTAGCAAGAACAATTTTTTCCAAAGTAGATATTTTCCGCCTGGCTGCTTTGCGTGATTTAGTTAAATCGATTATAATGGTAAAATACATAATGCTAATGATGATCCAGATTATGAATGTGACACCACAGTAAGTTAGTAACCATAATTGCAAGATTGGATTTTCGATATTACCAGGTAGGCAGACAGCATTAGTGGCATATAAACGATTGTATGGAGGCTGATTATTGCCATAAAGTAGCGGTATGCCCGCAAACATAACTGCAATTGACCAAAATATAACGAAAATGAATATAACCAGTCGCCTTGACAACCGATAGTTATGAAATGGGTAGACTAAGAATAGAAAACGGTCTACTGTGATGATAAACATAATGAGTGTTGACATTAACGTCGAAACTGAGACAAGAAATGATGATACTAAGCAAAATGGACTCCTTAACCAAACTTCGTGATATTGGGAAAAGTGTCCGGCAAAATAGACGTTAGCTGATGCGATAATAATTAAGTACAATCCCATCAATAAATCAGCAGCAGATAGATTAATAATTAGTGCTCTGACTATAGTATCATCTTTATTTTAACACTTGCATGCCACATAATGGATAAAATATTTTCAATGATAGATAGAATACCAACAAGCCAAATAAAAATTCGTAATATTTCATGTGATAAAATATCATTACACGTTGAAAGGCTGAATTGATTAGGTAACGGTCGGCATATACTAATAGTCTTTGGGGCATGGCAACATAGATATTCTCGAGATGAAAATCTAAAAATCAAAGTTACGCCTATTATATATAGAAACATCTTTGGCTATCTGCATTAAGAATTGCATTTCCTTCACATTACTAGGAAAATTAATTTTCGAAGTTAATCAAATACTATATTTAAGCTTGTTTCTTAAAGTTTAAATGACTTAAGCATTGAAAGATGTTAAAAATGACGTCGATTGAAATATATCGATAGCAAGTAATATATAAGAGACATTTTTATCTCTTAAGTCGCACGATATTAAACTCATAATTAACCTATGATCCCAGAACTAAAGCAGGGATGGCTTAATTAAAGCATCCACTATACTGTACTGTAATGGAACTCTATTTTGTGCGGCAGGGGTTATTGACTGACCTATGATATTAATAATAATTGCTAAATAAGAATAGAATTTAGGTTACTTACTGTCACAAAACAGCTTTGCAACAAGATAACGCAATATACGATCAATAAGTCAATTCCTTGAACCATGTATCAAGGAACGATATCTGCACTATCACAAACACTTTTTTGCTCAACTAGCAGACTATACAAAGACTTAGACGCCTCGTATTTTACGTTAAACACTAAGTTTGAGAATTCACTTTATTACACGATATACTGCATTTATATACTATTCCTCAATAGCTCATGAGTCATAGTTAATACAATTAACATTGGAATCATTTACTGAATTAGATATTAATTTTAGCTACTGCTCCCTTAATGCAGACAACAGTATTTACGAACATAGACATGTAATGACTAATACAGAATAGTCAGATTACGATATGTCCTATCACGGAACATTTCCATGATAATTTGCAATCTACCATAAGTAAATTACAATCACAATGATTGGAACTGTAAGTAGATGATTTGTATTTCCTATTATAACTATTAATTTCAGTATGTGTATAAGTGTCACTGTCATAAAAAGTCAGTGCTATATTAAAACACAGTATATCCAAATTAGAAGTTAACTAAATAAGGATAGTCTAACAGAATTATCCTAACATAGATATTTCTACTGTAATACAGTATATAACACTGTAACACTTACAGATCCGTTATTTCGCCAGCTCCAATTAATGAATATCTGGAGAATTGAATCAAAGGATTGTTTTTTATGTTTCTGTGAAAATGAAATTGCAAGGATACAGAGTCGATTAAAATCTCAACTAGCCACAAACTTAGTAGATTTGAATGTGTAATCATTTTTATGGTCAATAAAATAGCGATTTCTCCAGGTAATAAATACCAAGAAACTTCTCTATTCACTAGTTTTGAATTCTTAAAGTTTCGAGCAGTAATCGTAGGGTATTTAATCATTATTAGACTGGATAAATCGGAGATTTCGTCAGGCAATAAATACATTGCAATTTATTATCTACTATTCTTGATTAAAATAATTTTCTTACAGTTGTCGTAATTTTTTAAACCCCGCTAAACAGTATGGTCCAAGCGTCACGATGTTATTATCGTCGACACTCCTAAACAGGTATATTTTCGATTTCGTTAGCTAAATTTGTTTAATACCTTATGATCAATTTAATATTCTATAAAAATAAATGTTACATCAATGTAGAACTAAGCATATCTTTTAATAGGTAGATTTACACGTACAAAAGTTCCAAATTTGAAGATGCAGCGTCAGGAGTTGTACATATATCAGTTATATTATTTCTATTAAGAAGCCTATGTCAAAATCATTTTTAATAGAGCATTTATTAGCATAAGATATTCGAAATAAATTTAATCATTATGGTTAAACTAAAATAAAAGCATGGAGTTATGTTTCAAATTATGGTCAAGAATCGAAAAACTTGATTGAGTGATTATAGATACACTTACAGCTTTTTCAAGTTTGATAATTTTATCAAGGAGAAATAATCAGTATTTTGAAGCTGATTTTTATCGAAATTCCTAAATAGAAAGGATTGCATCAAGAAAGCGATAGTAATTTAATGGCACACTTTGAATTCTATCGCTTGGCAAAAATTGGTCTTTATTACATCAAATATAACAATTAAATATTAAAATCTTATATAGTATACATATGTGATTTTATCTAATCTGTGACAGTATTCAAGACTGTTCTCTATTTTATCTGAATTAAATAACATAAAAGGTCTAAAAGATTGCTATCAATTTATTTAAAAAATTATAAAGGAAGTATTAGAAGTACGCCTTACAATCGATTGATATTGGCTAAAGGCGAAATACCTCCTAAGCCAATAGACTTGAGTTCACAATCTGATAATTCGCTTCAATATGAAAGTTATAAGAAGTTACGAATATTTATGTATACGCTACCGCTTGTAGTACTCCTTCTAAAATAACTAGAAAAAATCGATAAGTCAATATTTTAAAACTTACAGATGTCTAGTTCGGTATAATTTCCGTAGTATATTTTCCGAAAGTTGATCAAGGTCATTGCCACCTAAAATTCTGTTAACATTGGATGTAATTAATTTTATTAGTATTAGACCAATTTACCCCACCACGTCATTTATCATTAATTGTTATATAATTTCTCAATAAAGAGTTTGAAAATACTCTACAGTTCAAAAAATTGTTTTCTTTCCGAAAATATCGGGACCAAATCGACAGCTGATAGGTTGGAATAACTTAGACCCCTAAAGGTTGCGATTTAATTTTATGTATGCTAAGAAATCTGGTATGCATTAATTTTAATATGTGCTACTTATAATATGAAAAACATAAACGTACTATGGTTAAGATGTTTATAAATTATGAATGCATAATTTATAGTAAAGCAGTAAGTAATACTGAATTGTTAATATCCATAATAAAGAATTTACTTATAGGTTGTTAATAAGCCAGTGATTTGATATTGATTACTACAGAACGATGAATTGACTATTTCAATAATTAAATACAATTTCCAATAAATTGGAAATTACCAGTAAGATAATTGTATAGGAACTCGTAGCAAAGGAATTGACGGATACTTTGTAATTTATAATTATATACTTACAGGCTTATCATATTGACTAGGTTTGTGATCAAACTCAGATTAACCCCTGACAAATTATTGCTATCTAGATATCTGTAACATAAAATAGACAAGAGTCACTTTTATGTAAACCAGTAAGTGATTTTACATGATTTTCTATTCTTTAAATGCCGAGATGTGTAAGATAACGATGGCTTCTTGCGCATAATTTTAAAAAATTTAATATGGTAGATATTATGTGATTCTACAGTAAAGGTATCACAAAACGTAACTTTATTTGTGAGCAACAGTTATACAAAGACCAACACAGGATACAGTAGTGTATCAACATCATTTCCCACTTCTAAAAATGGAATAGTTTGCAGATTTCACTTTCGCTTATATGATTAAAGCGATCTTATACATGCGCTGCTAAATATATAACTACACGATAGAGTTTTTAATCCATTGATATTAATTAACTTATTTCCATTTTATTATTTGTATATCAATCGCCAATTTTTTATGGAAATAAAATTAAGGTTTGTTTCAATTGCTCTAGTTATTTTGAAAAGATTTACTTACAATTCTTGGATATGAGCAAGCTCTTTAAATAAAGCGGCATTGATTATGGACTTGTTAAATTGGCAGTGTTTCATTTTCCTACGAAGCGACAAATTATGAACTTGGCTATGTACATGATGTTTGATATTCATAGGCGATATCATTTTTGGCATAAAACTGGTTTATACTAAGCAGAAGCTAACACCAGAAATATTGTAAACGATGACTAGCAAGAAAAAAGATTATTACAATGTCCGAAGAGATCTGAAATGGCTAAAGAGACGTAAATCAATAGATTGCAAGTTAGGATTATTATTCATGTATCTATAATCAGGATAAAAAACATTAAATAAATTCAGATATTTAAAACCTTCAGATTTTTACTCATATAGTATAGTAACTGTGCACACTGCGATAAATCTTACAGTTCCTCGAGAAATGGAAGCTGCCTAAACGATTTTTCTTTCAACCGGGTTAAGTAACGACCTCCAATCGCCCTTTGGTATTATATCATTTTATTATACATTCAAAGCATTAAAATTAAGTTTATCAACTTTCGATTTAGCTATAAGAACTCGATTAAAATATGTTTATTATATCAAAAAATATTCCTTACAATTTCTGCAGCCTAATTAATTTTACAAAAGCAAAATCAGGAATATCAGAGTATTTATTAGAAGCTAGATCCCTAGAGAAGGAGCAATTAATCGTTAAATTTATAGCCCTAAATATAACAGTATTATATCGTCTTTAAGTAATGGCTGATTGCAACAGAAAATATCTACATATCGTGAAAAATTCGAATAATTGCTTAAAATAACCACTAGTACTTTCATTTTTGTATCATTCAATCAATCAAACAATTCATCCAAATGCAAACAGCTGTTCGATTATAACCAGCTTAGATTAATGCAAATAACAAGAGCCTCAATTATAAGGTTAATGAACTAATTTATACAGGTTCTAATAAACTTACAGTTCTTTTAAAATTATAGTATTTTCGAAAAGATCAACAGGAATTTTTTTCAGTTGATTCCCAACCAAAAACCTTCATTTTTCAAATTATTGTTGATTTGCCAACATATGCAGATTAGTAGATTATATCAGTCGTAGTATCATCACCTGCTAGAATATCTATGAATCATGTGATCATACTTACAAGTGCGATATTGAAGAATTTATACCGAAAGCTCTTTCATGAATACTATTTAGTTTGTTATTGCTTAAAGTCCTATTTGAATAGAAGTTCTTCGTTATCTTAGTCAGTATTTGATACCCGTGCGATAGCATTTTATATTAAGTTCTAAATTTGACAAATTTCCAATCAAAGCAAGAAATTTCAATTATATATTAGGAATAAATGATTGTTTTTACTGGTAATACTAATGATTATAAATCTAACTTTGCTATTCATGTGATTCATTAGCCGACTACCCTATTTCTTACAAGTGCAGTGGTGCAAATGGCGAGAAAGTATTCAGCCCAAGATACTCTATAAAGTTGCTCGTCAACCTCCTAGACATAAAATTGTAAGTAAACAAAATCATGGACTGATATCGGTCAAGAGTTTCCTAAAAATCACCTTCCATTAATCATATTGAATGATAAGGTTTATGATTTCATATGACTGAATGGATTTTGAAATTAAGCGAATACTTTTCAAATTCATTTAGGAAAAGTTTACAGCTTAGCATTGCTGTAAAAATATCGGATCGTTAAAGAATGCCATTCTAGTCCAAGTCACGACACACTTTATTTCACAAATACAATTTTTTCTAAAAATTACCCCTAGCAACTGCTAGCATATCAGTACTGTAGCATCTCTTCATCTTCAGACAAATAAAATACCTATTTATGCGTGATGCTTTAGAAATTTTATGAAACTCACTATAGATAAAGTACAGAAATATTCTAAATAACTATCACGATTAATTTGGTGAAGCTAAACAATTAATTGCAATAAAAATGAGAAATTAAATTGATAATTATATCCATAATTAGACTATGTTTCTCCTGAGTTCAAGTATCCTTACTTACACTATATTTAACGACCTCATGTCTTTGAAAGTTCCAGGCTCTAGAATCGATATTTTGTTGAAAGATAACGACCTACGGATGAAAATATCTGTTAGGTTGTCTAATCTGCATCAGGGTACTACAAAGATTTTGGCTAGTTTTGTAGCGACATTATAAGTTCTCTCGATCATGGATATTTATCTCAGGGCAATTTGAAGACTTTTAAATGATAATTTATTAAATTAACATAAAAATAGTCTAAAATAAGTAACTACGGTTTTGTACACTTATTATAAAGTAATATTGGCACACCCAAGATATGATAAGTACCGCCATGTTTCCTTTTGTCAAAATAAGAAGCTGACAATACATATATTTGTTGTGCCGAAGGACATGCAATCTTACATATACATTGCACAGTGCACTAACTCACAGGTTTTTGACAAGTAAACATTCGGAAAATTGCTGACGACTAAGTTTTTCAATTCTATTCTTCTTCAAGGAGCTTTGATGAGTATATTATACAATAGCAATAATAATAGCTTAAATTTAATTAAAATGTTGAGAATATTCTCTAATATTGGTGAAATATTGTCATAATTTATTCCTTTCATAACAGAATTTCTTACAGTCTTTCCAAATGAGTACCATTGCATATATGCTTCGGTAGAGTTGCTAATCGATTTGATGATAAATCTCTTTTCAGAAACAGAAGATATAATATAAAATTTTAACACTGGTAGTCATAAATTTGATATAATACTATATATAATAATTTAAGTTACTATCGCGGCTTTATTACAGCTATCATAATCACACTATTATACTACAGAAACATAATTTTGTAGTGTCACAAAACAACTTTCGTGATCATACCTAAACTAGTCTATCTACTCTTATAGTTCTCCAACTAACTCCGAAAATCCTCAGTGAGGGAAAACTAACTTATTCCTATACTATAGTAATCGAGTAAAACGATAGGTTTAGGTTAATAAATATATTTATTACTAGCCCGTTTACATTAGTACCAGTGTACTCTACGTTAGCCTCTGTGGAACTGAGATTAAAAATTAATAATCAAGCTTATATACAATTTCATATGTCACACCAATAATCCCGGTGCTAATCTTTCACGTTAAATTATATAATGTGCAATACAGGCTTACTATAGACTATCGTGAATTGACTACTAGTTATATACGAGGAACATCAAGCTCCGTAACATGTAGTTTTATCTCGATTGAGCAGTTGAAGGTTTGCAAGCGTTGCATAATAAGAAATTAATAATTGCGTTTTTATAACACTGCATAAAGCAAACATCGATACAGGATTTATAACAGCCGGAACTATTTCCACCGTTCCATCACAGCAATCATAATCACGTTATTATACAGTAGAGACGTAATTTTGTTACTTCAGTTCGATTGAGCTATTGAAGATTCGTGCACGCTACATAATAAGAAATCAATAATTGTGTTTTTGCATATACAACATAAAACAAATATCGACACAGAATTCTATATTCTGCTATCTGACGTTGCGATCATCACTATTTTAAGTATCAGTATTATTAGTGCATATAGACGATAATGAAACTGTAAAAATACTGTATGATCTTTAGGAAGCTAGCGAAACCTGTTGTCATTAATTAGATCTACAATTCTTTATTGGACACTGGGCAGCAAACTGCAATAACTACTTATGGAATCGTAATTTAGTTTGTTAAACCGAAATATAATCATTTCTTTGCGTCGCTATGCAAGTTATCCTCCGTGATACCACTTGCAATTTTATTAAACCTAAGGAAATAATATATCAGATAATTTAACTAGGTAAAATTCGGTAGTTTGTAGAAGGTCTTCAAAGTTGTATTGAAACTATGGTATAAGGTGTCTTTTTACAAAATAGATGGTCGTCGGCATATACTGTATATTACTGAGAATTCCAAAATCAATATTTTGTATACTTGTATATAAAAAATATTTTTCTTTTTAGAAAGCGCTACTTCGAACATTTTAAATTGAATTATAGAGTTAAAACGTAGGCTAATTAAAACGTACACTTCAAACAAAAATGGAAATTTGGAAAAGAATCCATCATCAATTCGTCCAATTCTGTTACCTAGTAGAAGGCTATTTCAAAAAGAACATAGATTGTATTTCGTAAGCAATGTACTTCGGAAAATAATCTACGAATCGACAAAAAGGAGTATGTAAACGATCTTCATTAACAAAGTTATTACCAACAGTTACACTATAAATATCTAATTAACCTGAATAGAAAGGACTAGAATACCGTATAACTATCTATCTTGTACTAGAATTGGCAAAATTTTAATATAGAGTTAGTAATGTGTAAACTTATCAATCCGACTATATCCTTCATAAATATATCTAATCACATATTTATGTACGAAATCTAATTAAAATGAATGAAAATTGAATGGTTTAAGAATTACTTACGAAGTAACAAATGGACGTGAACGAAATCAATTACTATTATTGAAAACATATTATCAAATACTCACAGGCGTTTTATCAATTTTTTTTTCGAATCTGAGTTTTTAAGTGAATGAATAAAGTTGTAGGAAAAATTTCTGAAATAAACAGATTAATATCAGTTAACCTTTAGTTGAAATTAAAAAATGGGCTTGAGCACGCATTGCAAACTAGAATATATTATGGGTAGTGAAAGTTGTTGGCAATAAGACAATCTTAAGACTTGCTGTTCTAAGCTTTGTAACTTTATGAGCAAAATTAAAAGCTGGCTGTTCTTTCGTCCTCATTTACCTTTAATGGACAAACATCTACTCTAGACTAAACTACGGAATTTAAATCCTTTTCAGATTATAGCTGTTTTATCGAATAAGTGCTCCAAATATGTCCTTGATATGGAAGTGAAATACTTTGGTCACTAATTAATATCTTTCAATACGGTACAATAAAAGTGATTTCCAATTGTCTACAACTTATGAAACTGTTAATTCACTCGATCAAGTAGCTAAGAATAATGTGTTGAAGGATACTATGCTGAACTTATATAGAACATTTTCATGTTGGATTTCTGGGATATTAAGATTTTACGTGGAAAATGGGGTAAGAAAAAAATAATCTTGGCCACTATTACAGTTTACAAAATAAAGTTATAAAATATTAAAAATATCGGATTAGGAATAGTAATAGTCTTCATTTGCTCATTTGTACAGTATATAAACTTAGCCTTTACTTGATTGAACCAAATCTTACGCGCTAATTTATTATTCAATCCTTTTGCAATAGCAGCGTTTATTTTTCGACTAAACTATCATAACCGACTTCGAGGTAACAACTCTAAAAGTTAATTAGTTATAATTATATTATAAGTTGATAAATGCTTACGTACATGAAGGAATTCGTTTTAAGAGAAGAAAACATTGCAAAGTCTAATTCGGAAATTCCGTTCAAAGAAAAATCCCTATTGCAAATTACTTTTAGTTACCATACTAATAAAAAATTTACAGAATTGTACTTTCAACTCTGCATTTCCAGTATTAGTTAATATCGAGAATTAGTTTCACAATCTACTAGTATTTCATAAATGTAGCTTGAAAGTTTCCTAGAAATATTTCTTTCTATAGCAATTACTTATTCATACAAAGTCAATATATAAATAAGTGTCAGAAATATTATTAAATCCCAAGTTATATAGCGTTATTAGATAATTTAACAGTCGCCTTACACATAGAAAATATCCGATAGTTTCCGGAATAAATCATTTGGTAACGAGGTTATTAAATTTTTCCCTAACTGCCTAAAAATTTAGGAGAATCAAAAGTTGTAATACAATCTAATTTTACCGTCAAAATTAATTGCTTAATAAGAAGGCCTTTACCAACTCTAGTAATTTCCACAAGCAAAGATCTACAGTAATTACCTAATTCGAAACTTACTTATAGTTTAAATAATACCATATACTCAAAAAATAATCACTTACAGTGCCTGAATTGTTTGCAGCTTCTGAAAGTGCTCTGGTTTAATTTCTCGGATACCACAATGTGAGCAAAGCCTAAATTTAGTCATATTGTCATTTCATTAGAGAAGACTATTTCGAAAACACAGAAATATGGCCAGTGTTCATTAAATCACAACAGTACGGCAACATAAATGATGAAGAAATTTACTGATTCGCTGAAACAGTAATTTCTATCTATTGTTCCTTTTAACAATTTCTCGATTTTATTGAGAACCATTACGTAAAACGAAGATGTCATAAATAGCTAAACTTATAAATTGGATATCATAAACCTAGTAGAATTCTTATAGCTATCCTTGCTCCTTGTTGATTTTAGGATACACTTAATAAATTACAGTGGTTCTGTTTTAAGAACTCAAATCAAATTTGCATAATCTTTGTATTTAACATCAAGAACTACCACAAAAATTTCCGCTGGTTTTAGTATACAACATGTACTACTGTGAGAGCTATATAATTTGCAAACCATATGAGTAATGCCAATCTTTATAACGAAAATATCAAAGTAATGCTAATTATATAACTATTAATTATATCGTTAGTATCAAAATGAATATATTTATCTTACTATTAAAGCACAGTGATTATTTGTAATATTGTAGTAGGACTAGTTCTTCTCATTTTAATTAGCATTAATAAAATTGCGTTAATATTTTCCTTATATAAGAATGTTAAACTTAATTTAACTGAATCAAAAGAAATCTACTTTGCTGTCATAAGATAATATACTAACAATCCAACTATTATTGGACTCTCGGCGTATTTGAAATTATCTGGGCCTAAGCTTGTGCCACTCCATTGCCTATTCCATAATTTTAATAAGAGATAAACACGTTACAATTTTTTTAATAAATCCATTTGCAGGAAAGGTACTTTTATCAAAAAAATTTTAATTATAGCACAAACAAGGTGGTCGTATAAGGAAATGGTCTCTTTCTTAGACTTTTTTCTGATGTTATAAATTCTTTTAGAGGATTTTCGGCAAAATTTCTAAAATTATTACTCAATAAGGTCAGCATATCTAAAATTTGTAGCATGTATTTGAAAAATCAGAGTAACATTCGATTCTGGGCTATCGTAGTCATAAAATTATTATGAGCTGTCGCTTACAACACCATATGACTAGCTATGCTGATATAATATTATAAGAGTAGAACTGAAATAAATTTTTAAAACTGTTTAGGTAATAGATTCCTTTGATGGGCCATTTTACTAATGAAATATTGATTAGACTGGTAGAGAATTGTAGTTAAGAGCTGTACTTGTAACATAATGGTATTGTCTCCAGAAATATAAACTATGATAAACTGTAACAGAAGGGAAAATGTAATAATCCTACATGAGGGTTTATATTGTTATTAGAGATACTTACAAGAAAAATAAATGACGAAAGTTTTCGAAGCAGCCAAAGCTTATCCGTTCTATCCGATTTCCATCGATATGCCTACGTATAATAGCCTCAATTACTAGAAAGCTAATATACAGTAATTACCTTACTATCATTGAGCAGTAATATTGGTTCAATGAAAGCTGTAATTAATTATTAAACATAATAAAGACTGAAGTTGTATTTCGAAATTAAAATTGTATGATATTATCAGCTTACAACTCTAGCAATCTATTTAGGCCAACAAAAGTCTTCTCTCGGATAACAGACAACTTGTTCATTTCCAAAAATCTATCCAAAACAGGACATTAAAAATATCACTTTATGATTCTTTATTACCCTAACCTTACAGTCCATTTTTTAGAAAAAGTCTATAGTTGCAATATCTCGATCATAAGCTTATAATAACTTGTAATTGATAGTTACAGAAATTGTAAATTTATTAAATCTTGGAAAGCGTATTCTTGGATATTTTCGATGAGATTTAGTTTTAACGATCTAATACGAAATAAACAAGCGCGCAAGCTCATACACTCAGTAGAGTTATAGAATGCTAACTTAATACGATTATGAATCTAATATTTACGCATGCACTTTCCAGTTATCTGCTATATTATAAATTTACAATAATTTTAGGTTTCCAAGCGACTTGAATTGGCCAACTGTAACGTTTACTAGATAGTTTCTTTCAAGCGATCTGAAAAAAAATGTAAATCAGTTGCAGAAAGGATTTCGGTTCGTAGTTTCAGAAAAATTTATCACAAGGTTCAGCCAGAAGCATTGCTATAGGAAGGTAGTATAAAGATGTAGCAATGCTAATTATTATTCTCAAATTTAATGAGTTGAAACAGTACATAACTAATAAAATCACAACATTATAGCAAATGAATACACGAAATGCGATAATTTAACTGATATTTATGTCCAATCACAAATCTTATACATTCGAATAATTTTATAGAATTACTTTGCGATTTCCGTTCGTACGCTTAGGAATAACTACGGTACGGAAAGTTTTAATAAAGCTAATAAAATTGCTTTAATAAGCTAAGACTGGTATTGCAACAGGTATTAAATATCTATGGCAAGTCTACTTGATCTAGTTACATTCCTATCCTACCATAATACATATATACCGATAATTTTCTAATAGATACTGATTATCCTAATCTATTTAAACTGAATGTTATGGAATTTTAGAGAGAATAAATAGTTCTAAACAAGTATATTAGAGCAACTTTATGATAGCAAACTTAAGATTTAGATATATTTTCTAGTTTAAGTAATATAAGTATGTTTTACAAGGTCTGTAGCGTGGGCATCCTCTCGAAGCTGTGCGTCTCGATGAAACTGATAGCGTTCGACCCTAACTGACTAAGAATTGTACATCAGTTCGTCTGGAGTCTATATGTATTTTACATTAAGGTTACTTATTTAGCTAGAGAAACAACAATCTTAAATAAAAAATCAACAACCCTCAATGCATTTCACTTTAGCTATTTTATCATTAAATTGAAACTGACTGTCCAATTACGAAATATTAATGAAATTATAAAAGAATTTTCATACAGGTATCCTAGCAATGGTAGATGAGGAAAGCTATTGTTGCTAATTGTTTGAATTCCATTGTAATTTAACGCCCTATAGACAAATTGTTCAGTATTTTAATGCTAATACCAAATAAAATTTTATACTCTTAACACATTTTTTCCTTAATTATGTTTCGTTAGTAATCATACAAAAAAAATAAGGACTTTTGTTGGTTAAATTACTCTGTAAATCATGATAGCATTATAATAATAAATATATATTTTCCTCATCTCTTGTACACTTACAGTCGCTTTAAGTTGATTAATCCTTCAAATCTGGTCCTTTTAATCGTAAAGGATGTATTTTGTGCATTTGTTATGATACTAAGCAATTAATATTACGTTAATTAGTCATAATTTCAACTTGTACTGCACAAGACATCATAGCAATAAGTGAATAGATTGCATTCGAGTTGAATTAAATGCTCGGATAACGTATTATGCGCTATTAAAATTTGAATAGGAAGTATTAGCTTGTCGTTTTGTCAATAAATATGTGACACTCTGCTTCAATATTCTACTAAAAACCATGGATACCGTGTTGCTCAACGTTTCATATCTGAACTTACATCCAAGATAATAATGGATTCTGACTAAAGGTATAGGCAGAATCTACATGACTTGGGTTAATGTATCTAGATTGGAAACAAACAATTTAGTCCATTTTATTAAACATTTGTAACAGCAGGCCTTTATCTATGCGGTTATTGATAATGTCTTCATAGAATGTATGGTAGCAATCTCAGCTTAGAAGCAAGTTTAAAACATCAAGAAATTTCATAAAACGGCAGCTCTAACTTTTATGCAATTAATTTTAATGTATATGAGACAGAGATTTACTTGAAATAGAGTCATAAGCTAATTGATACTTACAAGCGCTGCAACTTCTTCAATGCTGATAAAGCTCTTTCATTGCTTTTTTCCTGACTTATCAATCTTAATTGTTAATTGAAGATTCATTACGTGAGATTTTGTCTTGAAAATGATGCCTTTTCTAACATTTGCTTTGATAATCTGTCAAAACATTTTGTACTCACAGCACTTGAGCATTACTGAAGACTGTAAATGCATCTGGGGATATATCTGATATCGGATTATTTCTTAAATTTCTATTTGTTGTAGAAATTATGATTAAAAATTTTTCTTTTAATTCTTTGACATAAATATTGTTCAAAACTACATCTTCGAAGTATTTCTAGCCAGCTTTTGCATAAAAGATGAAAAAGCTAACAGGTTCCGGCTCTCTAAATATTTTATTATCACTAATTCTATAAACATGAGCCATCGTTAGCTACGACAGATCTTCACCAAAAACGTATAATGTAATTAAACCTCTGACCCTGCATACTTATTTGGCAGCCAATAACCTGTAGAGTGCTAATAATAGATTACTTACCGTACTAAACTGACGATTTTACTTTATATTTTTCTACGAAATACTGATATGAACATATAATATATTTAATTCTTACACAAAATATAATCTAGGAAGCGGTTTGACGGAAGTAAATGCATCCAAATGAATGGTAAAAATTTGATTTCCCTCCATATTTCTGAAACATATTACACAACATTTTTGATATATGAAACCATGGTTTATATCAAAGCAGGATATAAGCAGTTATTTATAACATGTTTAAAAATATTCTTTTATTAGAAATGCTTCCTTTAAGTTGATGCTATTGAGGACTTACAATGTTCTCAATGCATACATATTTGATAGTGATGTTACATTTAGGAATGAAATCATGTTTTTTTGTAGTAATCTGTTAAAGTGCAAAATAGTAAAGGCAAATTTTATTATAAATTAACGAATTTTTAATTAATGGAATTGTAGCAAATTTTTGGCCTAATTAGACAATAATCTCAGGATAAAGGTACGGAAACTTACAAAGTATTCAAACTAATTAAACATTCTCTTAAGGCTCCAAAATTAGCATGCTTGATATAATTTTCATTAATGGATCTGTAAAAGTACAAAATCAAATTTTACATGGTAAGCCTTATAATTATGGTTTACAGTTACATACATATAACCTACATCATACGGTATAGATAAGAATTAAGATGTTTATAAAAACATTTAAGTTCAATTTTTATTCTTAGGCCTATAATAAAGGTTTAATTATTAATTATTTATGCCTATCTATAGTTGAGATGGTAGTAGCAGTTATCACAAAATCTTATATCAAGAGTATAGCATTATTGCTAAGTTAATGCTTTGAGAAAGACAAATAGATTAAACTATGGTCATACTTTATATCATTTACAAAAATATGAACACAGACATCAAGACTCTAATTGCACCCTTTAGATCTATATTAACAAACTCACAGGATTTTTAGCCGCCTTGAACCAAAGCAGATGTTTTCATTGATAGATTTAAAGCGATTATTATCTAAGTTCCTAATATGCAGCAAATATATCTTAGCGAAGAATTTTTCAGGTATAAAAATCTATATTCCTAAAGCGTTATTAGGTGAAAGCATGCTGGTACTCTTTGAAAATCTTACAAATGTTGCAGAGAAATAAGGCCTTCAAGTGCGCTTTCTGGTACTTGCTCTATCATATTATCTTTTAAGTTCCTAATAGGACAAGGTAATGGAGAAAGCTTTTTAAATTCATAAATTGTATTTAAGCGAAATAATTTTCATTTTATTAAATCAATTAACAAGGTGAACTATATAATGCTGCCACGGACTACTCTCTAGATAAAAAAATAAAAAGTATTCTGCTCTTCTAGATTGCTACAGTCAATTACTATTTTAGCTTAGGTCTGGAACTACCCTCTAGACTGCAATCACAACGGTAAACTTCACAACTTCGAGCTACTTCTACTTTATTCCAACTAATACAGCCAACGCTATATTCTCGTGAAAGCTACAAAAATCAATTGCTAAGGAGCAATATTTGCAATTACGAGTCAATCATAAAGCTTAGTTGACCAAACCTACATAGGAAGAAATCTACTAAACAAATACTTAATCTATACTACTATTGAAGGTGCATTTGCACCTTGACAAATGCATATTTATTTAGGAATCAATAAATGATATTAGACGATTCTAACCAGCTATGACCCAAGTATTATCAGAATATAAGAAGAATGTATAAGAATAACGTTATCTATAATTCTTTACCGTTTATTTACGTTTACCATTATTAAATTACAAAATGGCTAAACAATATTTCTATCCGAAAAGTTGATTGTGCTCGTAAATCGTGTAATCTTGAAAAATTCGTTCTTACATTGTTTTTAAAGAATACAAGCCATAAAATGTCATATTGCTAATGTCCTTGATTTTGTTCTTGGATAAATTCCTGAAATGCATCAAAACGAAATGATATTATTATTCTCTGTAAACTTTTCATTAGTTGGAGAAAATACATGTGCTAGTGTAATACCCATAATAGATTCCTAAGGATATAAATTTTAAAATAAATAAATTAATAATATACGGTGGTAACCATGATCAGCTTATTAATTAATGCTTAAGATCTACGCTAATTTGGGAATTGATTCGCACAGCATCATAGCATTTAAGCTACAAAATAACATCTACTTTAAATGGTATGACATATTAATAATTTATAAGTTTATTACATCTTCCTACGCACTAATTTCGTCGTAAGAGCAGGTGTCGTACTCGATATTACGGTAATTTCAGTAAATAATATTGCTGACTGAGAAATTCTTACAGCGTAATACGGAATTTTGCTAGTTTGGGTATACTTATGATGTTTATTCATTCCGCTGTATAATGCAAGTGTATTTGTCGAAAACATATCTTACTATGCTTTAAATTGTTTTAATTTTATGACATTAGAAAATTCATCGCACCTTTCCTGAATCTAGATTAGTAGTAAAATAAAGGTATTTGACAATATTACTTACAAATCGGTTAGTGTACCAAGTTCTTTGAACGCTTGATCACATATTGTGTAAATGTGACTGTTTTGAAGCGAACTGTAAATTTAAAATGATGAAACAAAAATCTAAATTTACTACTTTATTACAAAATCTACAAATCAGATTTCTGGAATTACTTATATGATTATTTGATACCGTAAAAGAAATTAAGAATTATACGATCATCAAAATCATTTTACCTTGTAAACAAATTTTATACTTTGAAATTAATGTTTAATAACTTTTAGCATTAGAGCTATCGATAAATTTCTAATATGGATATTTTTCTTTGTTTATAATGATAGATAAACGATTAAATATTATAAAAACATCCGTTATTTCGATATATCTGCATTAGTAGTATTGTAGCTATTAGCTTACAGTTTTTCAAGCCTTGGTAAAAGCTTAATAATCCCACAATCCAGATGGTGAATATATCCCATTGTCAATTCGCTTGAAAAATTAATAAAATTTACTATACTTGCATTGATAATTGAACTTATCTAACAGGTAGTTGCTGTATTATAATCAAGACATTATCACTACGAATACAACATAACTGCCACTTTTAGTTTCTTATCTGTTTTAAAGGCTACTTTTTTATTCGCCTTAGTTTGTATTTTAACTAAGTAAAAATTGAAGGCCCTTAATCCTAGTTCACAATTCGACTAAGATGTACTCCAGAGTAAGTCAAACGCTTAATGCTATTATTACATACATCTACGTAATACTGGAATATATTTCACATTAGTAGTTACGTAATAGATGATGAAAATATATTATCGTCTCTTACAAAATACAATATGTAAAGGCATAGAATTATTTTTTTCTAATATATGCCATTGAATTTCAATAGATGGCATAAAATCTATCAAAGGTTCAAATACAGTGAAGCAGCCTAAAAGAATCGATACTAGACCATCAATGACAACTATAGAATTCTAAAGGCTTAAGTTTTAAATCAAGCTTTAATAATTAAAAGTCATACTTACAGAATTGTCAGATTAGCCATATTCTGGAATGTAGTAAAGGCCAAACCTCTATGATTCGTACTAGAGAATAGTCTAAAAGAATTTACCATTGAACTTAAGATGGCATAATTGGATAATTAACATAATAGTTTGCTCCGTATCTTTTCATTTCCTAAGACAGCAACTGTCATATCATCACTTGATCGATATTGTAATACGGTCTAAAATACTCTTATTCACATACGCGATACTAAGGTGAGGCATTCCCAGACCAGCCTTTTGTGGTATTTCTTGGATTAAATTACGAGACATATCTCTGCATTATAATTAAGAATTAGTTATTATAGCATTCAATAAAAGTGTACCTTAATAATGCAAGATTTAACCAGGTTATTTCCATGCTGTATTCTCAAGCGATTGTAAATAATTGTCATAATAAAATTAGTCAGATATTAACTATTGTACGCAATAGCAATTTCGTCTACAACTACTGCTACAAAATTCCAATATTACAATTCATTTTGTGTAAATCATCCACTTTTCTTTTAAGTTCTAATCTCGAAAATATGTAGCGACAATATTATAAAGTAGGATACGATACTATTTTACATTCGGAAACAGATTCTTTTATTTGATGAAGAAACTGTAGACTGGTACTGCTCTAAATTTTAAATAACGGCGGAGATTTTTATGTAAATGATAGAAAACTAGTTGTAAACTTAGAATTTAACGATAAAGAAAGCATTTTTACAAATAAATACGATTATATGGTACAAGGTTACATCTACAGTAATGCACAATAATTTAAATTATTACATTGGTATCGTCATATAGCAAATGCAATATTATCTTCAACCTACAGACTTTTCAGGTTATTCAAGTTTAGGAACGTATCTACGTCCAAGAATCGTATTAGTGTTTCACTTACTTCCCTAATTAGAATGTCAATAAATTGATATAAAATTTCTAAGTGCTTAAATTTACAGTTAGTTTAATCGTCTTTAAGAATAAACTATAAAATAAAGCTGTTATGCAGTTATCTTAATAACACATGAGTAAATACATAGTCATAATAAATTTAAAACCTAATGTATGCATCAAGTGTCTATGAAAAGTCTGTATCCAGATGCCTTTTAGCATCACGTCCGCTTTAGGACCCAAAATACTGACTGTCATGTAACATCCGTGAATAAAAAAGTCTATCGACTCAGCCAACGTTTCTATACAAGCTATAAAATCAAGTCATATTGAAGTACAAACTATTTAGTGATATAGCTGTAAATATCAATAATAGTTACCTAAATGACACTATAAAACTCTTCAATTACCTTTGTAATATTGCTGATAGATAGATAAAATAAATTAATAATTTTTAGTAATTTTTAAATTAATTAAGGAAAAGCTCTTGTGATCTTGTCATATTTGCTATATATTGAGACTGTTACGTTCGCATAGTACCAAAATAGTGGATATTACTTCGGTTCAGTTAAAATCAACTAAGCCCAATATACTTGTAATACACCATTGTGGATTATTATTATCGGTACATTACGATATTAAACTAGTATTTCTTCTACACATGTGTAGATTTACTGATTAGCAGAAATCAGTCCCTTAGTTACTTAGTTCTTGGATAAAGAGTTGCCTGTTCAGGATTATCGTACTATTATTGTTAGTAATATACGGACTACGCGCTTGTAGTTTATTAAGAAATTAATGACTGATAAAGTAGCCAAAGAGTGCATATACATCACTAAATTTAGGCAGAGTGCCTCTAGCGATCAGTAAACAACGCAATTAGATGAGGTTTTAGGCCAAGATATTTTCGAATATTTTGATCGATCAATTCTTAGATGTAATAAGCCCAACTCCCTTACAAACTTGTAATAAAACCAATGTTATGATTAAAATATCAAAATTGTTTCCGTTAAGAAGTTTAAATAAATACGTTAATTCGAGTGATTTGGAGGATTAAAAATTAAATCATAAAAGAAATGTTTTTATATAATGTTTCAGATGCTACTTATAGCAGAAATCAATTTCTTACAATATTTCCAATTTTTGCAAGGGGTCGAACACATGCTTGGAAAATTCAGTAATAGGATTTTTTGACAACTTCCTGTAAATTAAAGAAACTTATGAGACCTCTAAATTTTACCTGATAGTATTATACCGTGATAAATGACTTATAGCACTACGTTCTACTGTGATTTATTTTTATTATTCATATCTACAAATAATACGATTTATAGTTTGAATCTTTTAAAATATGATTTTTAGGAATAGCTGAAGCGTTTACATGATTCTAAGGTTTCTTAATCCGTTGAAAGCCTTTTCATGAATGGATAGAATGTGAGATTGTTCAATTTGTCTAATTGAGAAGTATAGCTACAATATTAAGTCATTAGAACGCTACAACCCAATTTTATCATCAATAACTTACAAAACTTGTAAAGATTTCAAATTTACGAAGGCATGTTTGTGAATTTTTGTTATATAATTCATTCCTATATTACTATCAGGACAAATATATGTTTTATGTCTTATCATACTTTTAAATCAAAAATCTTCCACGAAATTAATACCCAAAAAGACTTACAGCAAGCGAAGATTTGGTAAATTCTTGAGATATTCTTGGGATATAGCTTCGCTATTAAGTAGATTTTGGTACGCATTGCTACATTAATAACATAAGACAACCTCAAAATTTTTTTGATAATACTGTAAATGGACTGTGAAATTAAAAATTAAAATACTCTACAATTGATATAGTTACCATATTAATGTATGATTGCACGGCAACGAATATTATATTCCATCTACTATATTCAAAAACGTTACATATTCTAGCTATACGCTTATTTTAAGAAATTTTATTTTTCCTTCGTGAATACTTCTTTAATTTCGCCTTATATCTTATTTTGCAATGTATTCTCAAGCAGATTTTGTATTTATGTGACTAGCATGTGCTAATTTAATACTAACATGGTGTCATTTTGTAACCGTTATTAATTCAAGTTATATCGCAAATTTACAATTCTTACGGCTAAGCGATATCTATACAGAAATTACTATATTTCAGGAGCCACTTGATAATTTATCTAGAAATGAAATAGCATAAATCATAAATATTGTTTTAAAACTTACAGTTCATATATCCAAAGTTGAGGAATGGAGGTATCTATCGGAAATTCCTGCATGTAACTGCGGGGCACCATACTTGATGATGAAAATTGAATTTAGTTCGTGAATTATGAGTATAACTTATAGCTATTTTCTTTTAGTGTATAACTCATATATTTTTCGCTATTTGCACCAAATAGACATCTGTATCAGTGTCATGGCACTAGTCTAGCTATAAGAATCCAAAATGCGTTTAAAAGTCAATTTCTAACTATACTCATGGGAATAGAGTAGCCAACTTGTAGACAGTTTTAGGTATGCTAAGGCTGCCTATTAAAAATTAGTAACTATGTTACTATCCCTAAGACAACAAACGAACTACAGTAGCCGTAATATTGTATAACCCTTCACAAATATAGTATAGATAATAATTTTTATATAAGCTAACTATTTAAAATGCGGTGTGGCACAGATCATCTGTTTATTTTTTTCCAATTGATGATAATAAATACTGTACATCACCCATAGAATTAAAATAAAAAGAAACTATAACGCTTTTTCATGTAGAAGCTTATCGAAGTCTTAAGAAACAAAAAAAGGAGTCTATCACCTGAATCTTGCAGATTCAAATGAATACTGCAATAGATAAAGGTAAATTATGCCCATCGGCTTGAGACATAACTTAATATTGGGATTGTAGACTACAGTATTAGCCATACTTAGGATATCAACGTAAATAAAGTAGTCGTTTCTATATTGGATCAATGACTGTCCATTGTCAAATGTTGTTAGTAAATTTTAACACGTGTAAAATGCGGTAGAATATTGCTGTACTGATTGTAGCTACGAACGTTACGAAAAGTATACTAAAATAAGTCAATTAACTGTTAGAAATTCCTAGTTGTTGTAATTCCATGTTAAATGTAGAGTAGCACTGTAATACGTAGAAAACTCGCTGCATGCGTGTAAGCAAGTAACAACTGAAATATGCCTTGTGCATACTGTATAGCCCTCAACGATTCATTTCTTAATTTCTATTGCCAACGCAACGAGACTCATAAACCGTCAACGAAGAGTAATCAAAGTTATTTCTCAATTATTTACGAGATGAGATGTTGATTATTGACCTTTTTTGGCATTGTGTTCTACAGACTGTAAACTTCAATGTATGAAAATACTCTAATAGGCTGCTAGATTACCGATGACCATTATCTGCTGCACAGTAATATGTTACTAATTATATTCCGCAAAATTAAAATTGAAAATACACGTAGAATGTCTCTAAGATGATTGTAACTACAGATATTATAAAAAAAATTAGAATACTTTCAAAGCTTACACTGACTGATAGGGTATAATCCATTTCTTAGGTAACTGAATCTTAGAACGAGAAGTACAGACTAAGCTTGTATTTGAACATGAACATTTCTTAATACATGGAAGTTGATCTAAAATATAGATGAAAGCAATATACAGCTCAGAGCCATTATACTTTAGTGTTCTTTTCTATGAACTAAAGTAAATTTCGTAACAAAATCAAAATTTCCAACCTTAAAATAAATATTTGATAATACTACAGATTAAAAAATATATTTAATATTAATTAAAAGGCAAAGCGCTAATTCTATTTATATAACATAGTCTAGAAAATTATGAGGTAATATAATTAATCCATCATTCCTTAAGAGAGCGAAACTAAGTAAATGTGAGAATATAATAAACATACGGCAGCGTTCTTTTTTCATTGAGGTATTAGAAATTTTCCATAAAGGACATAAAGAAGGTTTACAAACTAGAAATAAAAGTGGCATCATGATTGCTACTTTCTAATGATAGCACACAATCTATTGCTTGGATATGCGGTTAAATCTTCACATTATTCGTATACTTACTCGAAGCGAAATCGATTTTTTTATGCTTCTTACAAGAATCTTGGGTGCAATTATTTACGCTATTTGGAATCACTGCAGTATCCAGAGGTACTAAAGCAGAAAATACTAGCATTAATACGGGTGTAAGAATCACAAACAGGTGCAGCACTATGCCCTTGTGATAAAGTGTTTTCTCAAAAATATAACAAGAACTACAGCTTCTTGTAAACTTTAATTTATTACATAAGATTAGGTTCGTCTAACAACTACCAAGGACTATCTAACTTATTACAGCAATATTCACGATTTATATACAATTAGTTTAATTTCAGTTTTAAGCTTAATCGGGCCTGCAGTACAGGTTTTAATAACTAAACCTGTCATCAGGATCTATGCAAAATATTAA